TGCCTGGGAGTGTGGCCTGGACACACACAACCCACCCTGGAGTCCCATTACCTGTGGTGACTCATGGTGACCTACAGTGCTGGTGAACCAGTTGTTTGGTGAGCTTTTATCCCTGGGCACGCCCAGAGAGCAAACACCAGGTCCCTCTTTTATTGTTGAAAGTTTTTTTTTTCTTCTTATTTTATGATCTTGATTTAATGCTTTTCTTGTCAAAGGAGACTTGGCTGAGCTATGTCAGTTTGTCCACAAGGCAGAGATCTCAGTGGAAGGATCTAGAGGGGAAAAAGAAGACATGGCCACTGCTAGATTGTTTTCTGCTCCTGTTCTAATTAATTATTCCACACTTTGGCTTAAACTCATTGAACACTGAACTCAAGGGCCTTATTTTCTCCCTTTGCTTTTTCACTCAAGGGTGGTGCTGTACCGCTTGAGCTACATTTCAGTTTCTGGGTTTTTTGTTTTTGTTGGTTTTTTTGGCTGGTTACTTGGAGATAAGTCTCACAGACTTTCCTGATCAGGCTGATTTTTTAACCATGATCCTCAGATCTCAGCCTCCCGAATAGCTAGGATTACAGGTGTGAGCCACCAGCACCCAGTTCCCATGCAAAATACACATGACATAAAATTTGCCACTTTTCTTTGAGGTTTGTTGTTCAGTAGCACTAAGTGCATTCACACTCCTCTGGGACCAACCATCACCGTCACAAGTCTTAAAGTTTCATGACTGCACAGGTCCCCATTTCACACAAACTCTTCATCTCCTGTGCCCAACCTCTGATAGCAACATTCCCCTTTCTTCTCTAAATCTTAGATGGAGTCAGCAGTGTCTGTCCTTTTGTGGCTAGCTTTTAAAACTTAGCATAATGCATTTAATGTTCAACTATGCTGTGCTTATGTTTGAATTTTATTCCTTCTTTTTTTTTTTTTTTTTTTGGTTTGAGACTGGGACTTGAACTCAGTACCTGATACTCCCTCATTGGCTAGCTCTCTATCAGTTGGGCCATGTCTCCAACCAGCCCCCTTTTTTTCCCTTCAATTTTCATGTTCTTTGAATGGAACCTAGTGCCTTGCATATGTTAGGCAAATGCTCTACCACCAAGCTACAATCCTAGTCCTTGCATTTCCTTCCTGAATAATAGTCCATGGTGTGGGCAGGCCACAGTTTCCTTGTCCACTACCCGTGTGTGAACACTGGGTCACCTCTACCGAGGACTGTAGTGGCAGGTGCTGCCATGAATGTGGGTGTGCCAACATCTGTTCTCAACTTCCCTCTGTGTGGCCCACCGGTAGGACTGCTGGACCAGAAGTTAGTTTTGGATTGAACCGTAGCTGGTTTCCAGTTTTATCTCTGTCTAGCCTTGTGGTGCTCTATTCAAGTTGTTGGCAGGGTTGCAACCTCTCTGGGGGCTCCAGGAACATATGCTTCAACCTGCTTTCCAGCTACAGTGGCCATCCCTGGTCCTGTCTGTGGCCCTTCCTCTATAGGGATCTGTCCTCATGCTCTGTCTCATCCTTCACATCTTTGTCCTAGTCAGGAGTCTCTGCTTTCAGGACTTTCACAATTGGGTTTATCTGGATGATCTAGGCCGGTGTCCCCTCCCTTGTATCTGGACAGTCTCTTATCCATGCGGGTAGCATTCTCAGGTTCTAGGGGTGGGGTGTATGCCATCTGGGCTATTTTGGGAGGATCCAACCAAGGTACCTAGTGGTGGCCTAGTCTCAGACTTAAAAGGGCCCTGCCTTGGACTATTTCTCCAGACTAACATCATCCTGGGGGCTCTGTCACCTTCATGGCTGCTCCAGGTCTCCCACCACTGTGTTTGGTCACTTGGCAGATGTGCACATGCCTCTCAGTGATCCTTTATTCCTTCATACCCATGTGTCTGAGCTTGTCCTCCCTGGCCCCTAGGGAAGTGGGAGTGAAGGTAACTGTCCTGTGCTTTGCAGAGACTGCATTCAGTCCTCTGCTTAATCTAAGCGGGGCAAGTCATGTCTCTACAGAGAACCTGAAGGTTTACAGACATTCAGGTGTCCTGGGAGGAATGTTCAGCAAATGGGAAGGTTAGGTTTCCAGGCTAATGCTTCTTAGGAACAAGTGCAGATTACTAGCATAAGTACTTGCTTTGCTAACAAGCAACATGGTGGATAGTTTTGTACATGGATATTTGTACATGGATATTTTTGGTTAGGTCTATTGAAAGGAAGCTACCACACAGTCTTTAGGCCAAACTGTTGGCCCTGCATGTGGTACACAGAAAAAGGGCCAACATCTTGTGGGGTTGGGGTTAAGTGGGAGGGGGTGGAGAGAAGGTATGGACGTGACAGATGCAGATGTGACCCCAGAGTCTGAGAATCTCCCACAGCCTGAAGGAGGCATGACTGGGGCTGTCCGGGATGTGACCTCAGGGAAAGGGGAGGTAACTGCTCCCAGGTGTGCCAGCCACCTGGGCAACACAGGTGTTGGTCTGAGACTTCTAGAGTAGGGTATGTGGGGTCTTGCAAAGAAAATGGAGGGAGGGGAGTCTTTGTGCAGATTCACACACAGACTCAGGTAGAGAAAAGCAGCCTTCCCAGGGAGACCTAACACCCAAGTTCACACAGTGAACAGTAGCGATAGAGCTAGAACTGTAATCCTTGTTACTGGATTCCAAAGCCTGTGCATCACCCTGGCCGCCCAGCAGCAGGGTTGGACGATGATATCAAAGTGTGTGGGCTGCAGAATGAGGAAAGCTCTTGTGACTGTCCTGTGACTTTGGTGGTTTCTGACAGAGAAGACAAGGCTTTGCAAAGATGGAGAGTGGTTTAGAGTATGGGGAAGTGAGTGGAAGTGGTAGGCAGGCCTACAGAGAACCTGGCTTAGACATCGTGTATGAGCCAGCATTTGGGCTGCTTAGGTCGTGTGGCCTGAGATAGCTGCTCAGCCTCTGCCTCTCACCAGATGGGTGAGGGCTCCCTTCCAAGCCTGACATTTGAAGGACTGTGTTGTCCAGACAGTAATGGACTGCTGCAGGGCTTGGGGGTGTGGGGCCTCCCTGAGGCCTGGAGGACCTGAGAGCAACTGGGTTGGGATGTGTAGTGGGCCGTGGGTATGTCACCGGACACGGGTGAGGGTTAGTGGAGTCCCTTTAGAAGCAGGGACTCTTCATTTAGGACCCTTGACTCTGATCATAGAATAAAAATTTCTGAACAAGTCATGATGGTAAGAAAACTTGGTGGAGTAAGTAAGCAAGCAGACAAAAAGCAGACAGGCAAACAGAAGGGGCAGAGGCACACTCTTAACAGAGTGTGGATGCTCTCAAAGGGAGATGAGAGAGAGACACATCAGCTCCTTGGCTGTTAGGGGTATTTATATGGTAGAGGCAGAGGGGTTCTGGCTTCAAAGTTATGCAAAGCTAGGTGTTTATCTTTGCTTTTATCACTTCTGATCTTACTTTCTGAGTTTCTGGATGTTTATGAGGCATTTCTTCCAGGTAGGAATGCATCCTGCCGTAAAACAGATCCTTATCCCTGAGATAAGGAAGGCACTCTGTTATCTGCATTTTGGTAGGAGGTTGCTTAAGTTTTGGGGAAGCGTTTTTCTCAGGAAGGCATATTATCCTGTCAGACAAGTGGTAATTCTTGGAGTGAGAAATGCATCTCTCAGGAAGGAATGCATTCTGTTGTGTCACTTTGAAGCAAAGAGGGCATTTATATGTTTCTAAATACCATATTTCTGAGTTGCCTTACCAGGTCTCATTTCCTCAAGTTGTCCTGTCTCAGGTGGAGAGATTTGACAGCTATGGAGGGCTGGGACACTTGTGGGACTTGTGCTCCATTACCATCTGTGTGTGTGTATGTGTGTGTATGTGTTGGTCTAGGTTGTGTCTCAGTCTGTTCAGGCTGCTATAACAGATGACCATAGGCTGGAGTGGTTTAAACAACAGAAATGTATTGCTTACAGTTGTAGAGGCTAGAAATCCAAGATCAAGGTGTCAGAAGGCTCAGTGTGTGGTGAGGGGCTGCTTTTGGGGTCTGTTCATGGCATCTCCTCACTGAATTCCCACATAGTGATTTCGCTGGGCACTAATTCCATTCTACCCTTCCACACTACCCTTGATACCTAATCTCCTTCGAGAGGCCCCAGTTCCAGCTCCTGATCCCACCATACCAGGGTTTAACATTCCACAGATCTGACTGGGGGTTGGGGGTTGGGGAGAGGGCACAGATCCTTAATCTCCAGCATTTCTGATCACACCATAGAGTTAGGTTTGGGTAGGGGTCTTTTTCTGCCACTGCTTATTGCCTGCCATAAAAATCTTAGTTGGGCCGTTTTTCAGAATTAGCTACTTTTATGTTACTGTGAAGAAATACCTGACGGAAACAACTTAAAGGAGAAAGGATTTCTTTTGGCTCATGGTTTAGGAGGAGAGTTCAGTGTCTGGTAATTTGGCTCCATGTTTCTGGACATCATGGCTGTGGAGCATGGGCAGAATAGAGCAGTTGACATCATGGCAGACAGGAAGTGGGGCAGAAGGTGACAGGAAGTGGCTAAGGGTAACAGATCTCCAAGGACCACCTCTTCCAGTGACCTAATTTCTCCAGCAGTGTATCATCTCCTAAGGTTCCAGAACCTCTCAAAATAGTGCTACCAGCTGGGGGCATCTTTCATATATTCAGCATTTTGGGGGGACACGTCATGTCCAAACCCTATTCTGAATGGCAGCCCAACACTGACTGACTCCAGATTTGTGCTTGCCTTCTTCCAGCCCTAGAAGTCTGACTTGAGGTTGGCATGGAGTTCTGGTGCTCTGGGTGCCTGTTTTGTGTGGTTGGAGTGACAGGGCTTACTTGCTGGAGGAAAGAGTTATCCAATGGTGTGATTTGCTGGTGAGAGGAGAGAATATAGTTTGGTCTTTGGCTGGGCAGAACTGAGTTCGAGGCTGAGTGTCCAGGAGAAGTGGAACCTTCTCTGCTCTGGTGCTTCCTTCCTTCAGAAGCCTACCTTTCCCAAAAGCCTTTCAGAGGTGTTTCTCCTGCCTCTACTGGGCCCCTGCACCTGGAACTTGACAGAGACACTCATACATTGAGGAAATAAAAAGAAAACACAGACAATCTTCTTTTGGTGCTTTTGTTATTGGGATGTTTGAAAATCGAACATGCCTAAGACCAGTGTACGCCATTATATTAGCTTTCTATTACTGTAACAAAACACCTGAAATCAATTAACTTGGAAGAAAAGGCTCCTTTTGGCTCACAGTTCCAGAGACTCTGTCTGTAATCTATTGGTCCTGTTGCTTTGGAAGGTAGCATATCATGTCAGGAAGTGAGTCCACCTGTTCATCTCCTGGCAGCCAGACAGCGAAAGAGGAGGGGCCAAGGTCCCAATATCTCCTTCTGGCCATCAACCTCAGTAACCTAAGACCTCTCAGTAGGTCCTACCTCTTAAAGTTTCCACTGCCTCCCACTAGCGCAGAGCTTGGGACACAGCCTTGACACAGGGGCCTTTAGGGGACTTCTAGAATCAGACATAGCATCACTCTTCCTGTCTTCTACCTTTCACTCTTCTTCTCAGCTTCACACCTGCCTTTTCCCTCCCCACAGTTCTCATCCTGAGCATTATCAAATGTCCTGGGATCCCCCATTCTATTTGCATTTTTGTATTGTGGAAGCCCAAACAATGAGAGCTTAAATAAAACAATGAGAATAATCTTGCTATTCAGCTGTTACTACTTCCATTTTACAGATGTGGGAAATTTAAGGCCCAAAGAGTAAACCTGCCAAGACCACACAGTTGTAATAGCAAGCAGAGGTGGGTGAAACCCGGCTGGCTTCAGAGTCCATGTGTTCCCTGCCACCCTGCACTGTCTTAGGGATGGACAGGGTCACACCCTTGACAATTGGATGTACTTACCAGGTGTGTTCTGATTCCAGATCCATTCTATTGCAGCATATCAGCATTTTTTTTTTTTTCTCGGTTGTGGGGCTTGAACTCTGGACTTGGGCACTATCCCTGCGCTCTTCAGCTCAGGGTGAGCGCTCTATCACTTGAGCTACAATGCCACTTCCGGTTTCTAAGGGTTAATTGGAGATAAGAGTCTCATGCACTTTCCTGCCCGGGCTGGCTTTGAACCGTGATCCTCAGATCTCAGCCTCCTGAGTAGCTAGGATTACAGTGATGTGAGCCACTGGTGCCCAGCTCACATCACCATTTCTAAACCTACTCTTGAGCTCTCCTGAGGATGGTGGGCCTGTGTGAAGAGTGAAGTGGTGGTGAAGGACCTGGCTTTGAGTCTGACTGCTTGGGCTTGAGTCCTGTCTCTGCCATTCACTACTGTAGCCTCTGCTTCCTCTGCATTGAGGATATTTATGTTAGTACTTGTTGTAAAGTTAAATTCTCTGTAAAGTTCCTAATGCTATGCCTGGCACGTAGCAATTATTGTTAAATGGTGACTATTAGGATGGCCTTGTGAGTTTGGGTAACTTGAGGGCAGAGTTAAGTAGGCTTCTTTGTTACAGGACTTCTCAGAGCTTTTCATTTTGTTACTGTGAATTGTTAGTTTCTTGATGGAGAAGAGGAATTAGTTACAGTACAGAACCATGTGTGGTTGTTAGCATTTGTAAACTTCTAGGACAGCTAGTCTCCCTGTCTCTATCTCTGTCTTTCTCTCTCCTCTCTCTCTCTTGCAGTGCTAGGAGTTAAACTTCAGGCTTTACATTGCTAGACAGGCATTCTATTTCTTGGGCCATGCCCTCAGCCCTTTTTACCTTCATTATGTTCTGATTCTTCTATTTACACTTCCCATTCAGCTAGATGAAACAGGTCCACTTCTGGAAATTTTAGTAGTTAATTAGAGATAAGAGTCTCATGGAATTTCTTGCCCTAGCTAGCGTTGAACCACAGTCTTCAGAGCTCAGTCTCCTGAGTAGCTAGGATTACAGGCATGAGCCACCATGCCAAGTTAATTTCTTTTGAACTATGCACCTGGTAACTTACAGCATGTTGAGTTAAGGTCAGGCAGCACCAAGCTGCAAGTCACACCACCTGTTTTAGCTTGGCAACCTGGGTTGGCTTCCAGGTCAGTCCTGAGCAAGACTTGGGGGCAGAGGCTGGTGTAAGCATGTTTACAGTGAACAAGAACAGACCTGGGGCCTGCAGGGAAGACTTAGCTTATGTGTGCCCAGATGCCCAGTGGCTGCCTTTAGGGGCTTGTGCTCTGCAGAAGCAAAATTGCTTATTGGAGGAGCTTATCCTTGCCAAGAGCCTTGCATTTAAAAATGTGCCCATTGTGTTATTATTGCCCTGTACATGCAGGTCCCAACACCTCTATTGTGATCCTTATGTGGGCTTAGGAACAAGCAAGGGAAGAAATGTAAAGGGAAAAATGGAGGTGACAGGACATGAAATGTCATGCCTGTGTCAGTTCAGTCAGCTGCCAGCCAGCATACAGGCTGAACTCTGGGCCTTCGTTCATCCTCTCATTCAGTCTGTTTATGGAGTACATGTTAAACCAGACACCGAGTAATACAAATACTAGATGTGGGACGGACAGTGCCACTCAGCGAAAACTCACTGGTATAGGGATGCAAAAGTCTTGGGAGGGCTTGTTTCCAGGATCCTTGGGGCTGATAGGTGCCCCCTCCAAGTACCTCAAGCTCCCATTTTCCTGAGATACTCCAACGCCTGTGTTGCAATGGAAGCTGGAGATCCAACTATTAGGGTGTGTGTGTGTGTGTGTGTGTGTGTGTGTGTGTGTGTGTGTTTAAATTTCATAGTAGTTGGAGAGATGAAAGATGATAGATAAGGTTCAGGCATGGTGGCATACACCTGTGATCCCAGCTACTTAGGAGGCAGCAGTAGATTATGATCCAAGGCCAATCCAGAAAGAAGCCTGAGACCTTACAGGAAAAACAAACTAAAAGCAAAAGGATTTGGAGGAAAAGCATATGTGGCAAGGCACTTGCCTAACAAGTTTGAAACCGTGGGTCCAGTCCCCAGTACTGGAAAAGATGGGGGGGGAGGGGCAGGGGAAGAGGGAGGGGGGAGAGGAAGGGAGAGAGGGAGAGGGAGAACAGGATCAGAAAAACTACAGATGAAACCAGGCGCCGGTGGCTCACACCTGTAATCCTAGCTACTCAGGAGGCTGAGATCTGAGGATCTCGGTTCAAAGCCAGCCTGGGCAGGAGAGTCCATGAGACTCTTATCTCCTATACACTACTAGAAAACCTGAAGTGGCACTGTGGCTGAAGCGGTAGAGCGCTTGCCTTGAGCTGAAGAGCGCAGGGACAGCGCCCAGGCCCAGAGTTCAAGCCCAACGACCAACAAAACAAAACAAAACAAAAAACCACTACAGATGAAATAATATGCACCGTTGAGGATTTCTTTATCATAAAGTATACAGGGGAGAGGGTGGGGTCTGCTGAATCAAGACTAGCCTTGTGGTGACCTTTGGTGAAGCTGAGGATTTATGGCTCTGTTCTCTTTTGTGTGTGATGTCTGTAATAAAGGGTTGTAAAAAGCGTCAGTTAGTGCTCATCAGTGCCTCTGGACACCCTTTACTCCTTGGCATCCAAGGCCATTTGTCTTTACCTGGTCCATCCAAGGCTGGCTCCTTTGAGAGCCTGGGACCTGAGCAAGCCTGCCCTGGGAGTATTTTAGCTATAACACTGAGGGATGGGGGAAGCAGAGGGTCTTCAGGATTCTATCCAGTGTGAACTGTGTGTGCGTGCGTGTGTGCGTGTGTGCGTGTGTGTGTGTGTGTGTGTGTGTGTGTGTGTGTGTGTGTGTGTATACCCAAAGGAATCTTTTTCTAGATCCCAGAGGAAGGAAGAGCAGGGCAAGGGAGAGCCTTGTCTCTGGGAGGAGGGGAAAGCCTGCCCTGGGTCTCTCACTGAGACCCTTGCTGCTGAGATGTGTAGGGCTGTGCCTCATGTGCACATTCCTGTCCTACTTCAGGCTCCTGCTCACACCTGTCTTCTGCTCCTCTCCCCACTCCACGTGACCCAGAGCACCCAGATAACCCCAAGGGGGCATGTGGCATGAGCTGCCCAGAGCAGCTCAGGACAACTTCCTCTCCCCAAACAGGGCCAAGAGGCACTGCAGCTAGGATAGGAATGTGGACTGAAAGGAAAACCAAAACAACAGTGTTTTTTTCTTTGCAAATCTTGTTCCCCTTCTCTGACTCAAGTGGGGGGGTTCATGCACATCTACCAGTCCTCCAGCACCAGCTGGGTAGGTGTTCACAGATCAGCCTGCTTCTGACCTGAGCCAGAGTGAGTACAGGCCCACAGCTAAAGCCTCAGCCCCACAAGTGTGTAAATGTGTGGTTCATCGTATCCCAGCCATACAGCAGAGCCTGCTTCCTACTGGAAAGCAAAGAATCTCATTTATGATTACATTGGTTGCACATATAAGTGAGCATGCATCTATGTGAGCATGCATACAAATGTATTTGTAACTGTGTGTGTGTGCATATGCGCACGTGTGCGTGACTCGGACTGTACATTAGCTGGTGGCTTTTAGGGAAAGGTTGAGGATATAGGAACTTTGTGTCTTTCTGATCACATTGAATTTCCCTATAATGTGTCTGGATACTTCAAAATTTTTTAATCTAAGGCAAGTTGAAATCATATATACATATATGATTTCATATATGTATATATATGTGGGACAGAGGGTGAACAAATTCAGCAGTGATACTCACTAGACACTATGTTGGGGGAAGGGGAGTTGGGAGGGGAAAAAAACTGGAAAAATGAGGGAAGATTGACACTGTTCAAAAGAAGTGTATTCAAGGCCTCATGTATGTAACTGTAACCCCTCTGTAAATTGCCTTTACTGTAAAAAAAAACCTAAAAACACATACCTCATAAAAATTGTATATACAGGGGTGTATGTGAGGGGGGTTGATGGGAAGGGATGGGAAGGGGAAACAAAGGAGGAGGCAACAATGCTTGATAAGAAATGTACTCATTATTACCTTGCCCATGTAATTGTAACCCCTCTGTACGGTATTTTCACAATTAAATAAAAAAATAAAAATAAAAAAGGTATATACAGACCATGTTAAAATAACCACCATGACACTAAAATAGACATTGTACCATTCATAAACTGAGACTGATCTTAGTCTGGTTGTTCTGGGGAACTGGATGCTTCCCAGGTGGCACTGGACACCATCACTGCCCTGACTCTCCCAATACCAGTCACTTATTTACTTATGGTGCCAGTGCTGGGGCTGGAATTCAAGGCCCTTAGCCTTTTGCTGGAGGCTGGTGCTTTAACACTTTTGAGCCACAGCTCTACTTCTGGCTTTTTATTTTGGTGGTTAATTAGACATAAGAGTCTTATGAGTTTTCCTGTCTGGGCTGGCTTCAAACTGCAATCTTCAAATCTCTACCTCCTAAGTAGCTAGAATTGTAGGTATGAACCACTCACATACTTAAAAAAAAGGGGGGGGGGTGGTCTTTCTTTTTGTTTGTTTGTTGTAGCCGTGGTTCTAGGTTCACAGCAGCATTGAGAAGACATTTCACGGTCTCCATGTACCTGTGGTCCATACTGGGATTTGCTGCTGGCTGGAGCTGTCTTTGCTTCCCACAAAGATGAGGCTCCCCACTGTGCTTTGGGATAGCTGAGGGCAGGGACTGTAGCTCTCTTTTAGATATTTTTACATTTTGTCTCAATATAGCATTCTAGATTTCTGTATGTGGGACTCTGGCCAGAGCCCTTGGGGAAGCTCTTGACTTTATTTTTAATTTTTTGGAGGGGGCTGGTCTAGGGGCTTACACTCAGGGCCTGGGAACTATCCCTTAGCTTTTTTGTTCAAGTCTAGCACTCTGTTATCAGAGCCACAGCTCCACTTCCAGCTTTTTGGTGATTAATTGGAGATAAAAGTCTCACAGACTTTCCTGCCCTGGATGGCTTCAGACTGTGATCCTTAGGTCTCAGCTTCCTGAGTAACTAGGATTATAGGTATGAGCCACTGACACACCCGGCTGTTGACCTTTTTATGTCAGCTACTTAGAAGAACACAAATGCCATGCTAACCAAATCAGTGGTTCAGGAACAGAGCTGAGAGAGAACTAAGGCATTTGATGTTGGTAAGAATCACAAGAGGTCTCAAGCTAGATCCAAGGGGAAATTTACCAGGAATCCATATAGGGCTTCTTCTCCCAGGCGATGTGGAGGAAGGGGGGCTGTGACAAGATCCTCTCCCTCAGGCTACACATTGGGAATTTGGTTCTGAAGAGATCAGAGAGAGAAAAAGAGTTGGGCATAGGCTGGAAAGTATTCCAGGTGGGAAATAGTTGAGAAAAAGTGAGCCTGTTCTTTTCAGAAAGGGGGAAGACTGGAAGTGGTATCTTCGGGAGAAGGGAGGACTCCAACTCAGGACTAGGCTCTGCAGTGGGATTCTCCAGCCCAGGGGTCTCCAGGGCAGAGTTCTTTCCTGGACATAAACCCTACTCTTGACAGGAAGCTCCTTGAATGCCCTTCCAGCAATGAGGGCCATCCTGTTTGCGGGCTGCCCCACCTCTGTCTCCTGTCCTTTCAGGTCTGGATGGGACTGTTGGGAGCTGAATGGACCCTGTGTGAGTTATTTTAATCTTGGAAGAACAGCCAGGACCACCCGAGATGGGAGGGGTAGCCCCAAGTGTGGCCAGACCTGCCTGTTTGAATTGAGCTTTTTCTACAAGGTAGTTTTTTTTTTTTTTTTTAAATTAGGAGCACATGAAATGAAGAGAGTGAGACCTAACCAGAGTGAAGGTCACTCGGTCCTCTCTCCCGCTGTGAGGCCACCAGTGTTACCCAGTGTCTTGCTTATCATTCAGGGTGGTCTTTGTATGCATGGACCCAGGTTCTACTTCGTTATGTGTGTCTGCTGTCTCACTTTTTTGTTATGTTAGTATATACACAGTTTGCATCTTGATAAATAATGGTTTTTTTTTCCATCTCTTATGCAGAGTTGGCCAATTTTGACAACAGCAATGGAGCTCAGGCAGAGCCCAGGAAAGGGAAATGACAGGAATTTCCATAGGGCTCCATCTGCACTGTGGGAGCTGTTGTGTTGTACTTACCAGATGTTGGCTGCAGAGGGGTTTTCTGCCACAGCAAAACCCAGTTCCTCATTTCACATAGCCTAAGTGTGACCAGAAATAACTTAAGTAGAATTGTTAGGTCAAGGGATGTGTCTTTTCTCATTTTAGCATCCGATCCTTCGGCACGTTGGTGAAGGTGAATCTTCCACTCTTTTTTTGCAACTTCTCTAGTGTTTATCAGTTTTGTTGTTATACATTTTTTCCCCTCAGTTGGTTATTTTCTAGTTCTCATGTTATTTCCTTGGTTGTTGTTGTTATTGTTCCATCAACAAGCTTTTAGAAACTTATTTCTATGTCTTTGGGGTTTGGTGCTGCTTCTTAACCCTTGGCTCAGATGAAATTGAAGTCCGGCCTGTAGTTTTACAGAGAGGCAGGTACCAGTGACAGTGGGTGCTCAGGCTGCCCTGCTCCTCCTACATTCACACCCCCAGGCTGCCTCGTGGGCTTTGAGGCTGGTGAGGCTAGACCCACTATCAGGCTCTGCTGACAGCTTACCTGGCCAGCCCAGTGGGGGAACCTCAGTCATATTTGCTAAGGGGTTCAGAAAGACAGCTGTGCAAGGTTGCTCTGCTGGTTCACTCCAAGGCCACTGGACCCATTGCTCAGAACACATGAACATGCATGTAGTGCCGGGCCTACCTGTGAGGACCAGGTCTTTCAGCTCCATTCACAGGCCCAGTTCTTCAAGGGAGAGATGGATAACAACTAGAATCTTGTGGGAGGTGGTGTCTAGAGAGTGGTTCTCAAAGTGCTATCACCTGGGAACTTGTTCTGAATGCAAATTCTGGGTTTGCTGACCAAGAAGCCCAGAAAACACAGAGCTCAGAGTATATTACCAACCCCTTGGGTGATTCTGAGACCCGGTGCCATCTGAGGATGGCGATGTGTGAGAGGAAGGGGGTGCTCTGGGACGGCAGCAGGGGAGGCCACAGGCTTCCTCATGCACTCTCACTTGGTCCTGGGTATATCTTTGGGCATTGCAGTATCTTCTGATTGGTAAGAGCAGGGACTGCTGCCCTGGGTCCCAGGCCCTCTCCTTCCTTTAGCATCCAAACTCCCAAGTAAGTCTCTCTCCTACTGTCTGGGAGCTGCCTCAACTGTCTGAATTCAGACCCTGCAGCAGATAACCCCTCAGGCTCTGCTGAAGGCCCTTCTTGTTCCGGGAGTAGTGATTTCATTCCTGACCCAGATTCCATTACCTGATACACAGGAAGTTGGAGGCTGCAAAGTGTGGCTTGGTATCAGGTCCCATATGGGCATGGTTGTGGCTAGTCAGGGGTCTGTAGATGGGTGCTGGGAGACAGAGTCCTCTGGATAGGGATGGTGAGCACACGGAAAGATGTGAAGCAGATGTGGAGTGAGGCTCTGCATTCTCTGGCAGCTGCTGTCAGAGAACAGGTCCAGACATGCAGCTGTGTCCTTGACAGTGAGTGGAGTGCAGCCTGGCTGAGGGGTTCCCCAGGAAAATTATAGGCTTCTGGTTAGTGGGGACTCATGGGCCCTTAGAGGTGGGTCTTGGCCCAGAAGTCCTAGCTGGAAGGCCCATAGGATGCAGGCCAGTGTGACTTGCTTGGGGTAAGATAAGCCCACAGTTGGGTGATTGTGGAGCTGTGCTTCTAAGAAGCAGGTACTAGAAACCTGGGTGGTGAGGGCTCTGGGCAGCAACTGAGTGGGCTTCTTCTTCCCTTCCAGGTCTAACCATGAGCTACCCAGGCTATCCCCCACCTTCTGGTGGTTACCCTCCAGCTGCACCAGGTAAGAGGCTCTGGGGAGGTTAAGGTGGAGGAGGGTGGAGCCAGACTTGACTCCTTATTCTCCCCAGAGAAAGTGCAAGACCTTCCCAGTGAAGGCAGGGGCAGGAGAGACTGGGTCTCACTGGTTCTGGAAAGCCTCAGGCCAGGCTAGAACTGGATCTCCTGCCTCATCAGGCGACAGCAGTGGACAGCCTCCAACTGTTCTGAGACGACTTGTTATTTGCAAAGTGGCTTCAAAGATCTCTCCCTCACTGAGCTGTCCCTGATACTGATCAGCAGCCAAAACCTCCAGCAGCATGTCCCTTTCACTCTGTGCTGAGTGGCATGGTGCTCTAGCAGGCAGATCCCTCTTCCAGGAGGCAGATGGATGCCAGGCATCAGATGTCCCTGCCACTGTTAGGAGCCTTATGTGGTGGAGAAGGAAGTTCCACCTGGGTGGGTACCCAGAGATCCTGTCCTGTCTTCTCACTTCAGTTTTGTGTGTAAGTGTATATGTATGTTCAAGACCTGGTACTGGGCCTTGTGCTTAGGCCTGGGCACTTTCCCTGAGGTTTTTTTTTTTTTTTTTGTTTCATTTTGTTTTTCCTCAAGGCTAGCACTCTACCATTTGGGCCATAGCTCTCCTTGAGGCTTTTTGGTGGTTAATTGGAGATGAGAGTCTCATGGACTTTCTTACCTGGGGTTGGCTTTGAACCATGATCCTCAGATCTCAGCCTCCTGAGTAGTTAGGATTACAGGCATGAGCTACTGGTGCCTGGCCTCTCATTTTCTTGAATGATGTTTGGTCCCAAGCCTTATTTGGGAAGGAATATGAGGCTTTTGGGATGAAAGGGGAATGAGAGTCTTTGTAAGGATCTTGTCTGAGGGAGTTTAAGCTGTGCCAGCCACTCCTGCAGACCCCTAACCTTTGTCCATTTCTTTGACACTAAGATCCTGAGCTGCAGAGCGGATCGGAGGCTGCCCAGGCAGGCGTCAGGCCAGTAACAGCCATGATGTTGGTCTCAGTGGCAGCATCATAGGTGCTTGGGCCCCAGCCAGGCTCTGCTCAGTACTCATGGTAGCAATTCCGGGCCCCCATTAACCACTGCCCTCCTTGTCTGCAGGGATAGCCTAGAGTAGCTGAGAGCCCTGCCCATCACACATAGCTGGCCCTGCTGTGTGTCAGAGCAACTTCTCATGGCTGCCTTTTACTGTGCTTCTATGGATGACAGTGGGTGTCTCTTTTACCCACCATCTCTGTCTATCAATGTCACAGACTCACCATGGTACCGAGGGTGACCCGTCCTTGTGTCTGTCCTCACATTCTAAGATGAGGGGAGGACAGAGCCCTCTAAGTACCCCACCATGGGCCAAGCCCACCTTGCTTCCTGGAATGGGCAAAGGCCTCCTCTCCTCTCCTCTGACCCTCTTTTGTCCTAGAGTTTCTGTGTGGTACTAATGCTGATCTGAAGCTCTGATTGGCTGCTTTCCTGACTCCACCCCCCTGGAGCCCGAATCTCTGCCTTTTCTCTGTCAAATCAAGGATGGATGGAAGGAGCTGACAGATTTGATGTTGCTTTCAGGTGGAGGTGCCTGGGGAAGTGCTGCCTACCCCCCGCCCAACATGCCCCCCATTGGCCTGGATAATGTGGCCAGCTATGCAGGGCAGTTTAACCAGGACTACTCAGGAATGGTGAGTCCAGCCCCTCTGAGGCTGCCCCAAGCCCCACTGCATGGCCAGAGGGATCAAGGCCGCTGCCTCCAAGGTGTTTCCTGTGTGTTCACGAGAGTGTAGAGTGTACTGAGTGAATCAGAGTTTTCACCAGGTGGCTGCCTACCCTCCATCCTTCTCAGGCCTAGGTTTCTCTGTAAAATTAGGGGAAAGGATCGCATTGGGCCAGTCCCTCAAAGTCAGATGTGCTATGTGCAACTGTCCATGTATGTGTGCGTGTGCACGTGCCCACGTGTGTGACACATACATGGCTACTCTGGTTAGTACTGTGTGAACATACTGTAAGTAGCTTGAACAAACATGCTTTTATTTGTTTCATTTTTAAAACAGTGAATTTTATAACGCTGAGGATAGGTGAAGAGGACAAGTAAAACTCTTGGCCCTTGTGCAGTTATTGTGGGTAAAACACACAGATAAAAACATACATCGCCTGGGTCTTGGCACTGTGTGTGGATGCTGTGGGAACAAGAAGGCAGGGGGAAGAGAAGGGCAGGGGGTAGGGAGGAATGATGCAGGGAGACATGGATAAGGGTTTTGTGGGACAGGGTCCTGGGGCTTGAACTTAGGGCCTAAGCACTGTCCCTTAGCTTTTTTATTCAAGGCTAACACTCACATCTCCTCTTCTGGCTTTTTGGTGGTTAATAGGAAATAAGAGCCTCTCAGATTTTTCTGCCCAGGCTGGCTTTGAACCCATGCTTCTCAGATCTCAGCCTCCTGAGTAGCTAGGATTATAGGCGTGAGCCACCAGCACCTGGCTGGGGCAAGGATTTTGGAGATAGGGGTCAGGAGGGCTGAGATAAGACCCGGAGCCAGTGTGTGTGTGTGTGTGTGTGTGTGTGTGTGTGTGTGTGTGTGTGTGTGTGTGTGTGTGTGTGTGTGTGTGTGTGTGTGTGTGTGTGTGTGTGTGTGTGTGTGTGTGTGTGTGTGTGTGTGTGTGTGTGTGTACGCGCGCGCGCATGTGTGCACGTGTGCAGTGCAATGCCTGGCTGAGATAAGACCCGGAGCCATGGTGTGTGTGTGTGTGTGTGTGTGTACGTGCGCGCGCATGTGTGCACATGTGCAGTGCAATGCCCTGAGGTGTGGAGGGACAGTGAGGAGGCTCACATGACTGAAGAGGAGAGAGGAAAATGGTGGGCCCAGGTCTCACAAGGCCATAAGAGGCCTCCTGAGGATTCAAGTTTCTAGTCCACTTGAGCATTTGCTGCTGAGATGGCCACTAATAGAGTTGTATGATACTAGTGTAGGTCTGCCCTGAGCTTTCTGGAGCTGTGAGCCCTTTCCTTTCCTGTGGAGAGGGATGGCTGTGTCCCTACTGGAGGGTCTCTGGTTTGGGTCCAGGGATGATCCAAGTTAGCTGTCACTGAATTGTCACTTGTGGGGTGGCACTGAGCAGGTGTCCCTATCTCTGCACCTCTGACTATCCATAGCTGTCATTGTCCTGTCATTGGGGTGGGCACACTGTGAGGAGTAGGTCAGCTATGGAGGAAGAAGGCTAAGCACACAGTAGGGCATGCAGCAGCCTTTGGTGGCCACAGCCCTGGAGGGTGGTTCTCACCAGGGAGGAAGAGTGGTACCCGCTGGCCCCTGCAGGGTCCAAAGCCTTAGGCTTTGTTTTGTGTACTTCCAGGCAGCCAACATGTCCGGGATGTTTGGAGGAGCCAATGTGCCAAACATGTACCCTGGGGCACCTGGGGGTGGTTACCCACCTGTGCCCCCTGGGGGCTTTGCGCAGCCCCCTCCTGCCCAGCAGCCCGTTCCTCCATATGGCATGTACCCACCCCCTGGAGGAAACCCACCCCCTGGCATGCCCTCGTACCCACCGTACCCGGGTGGCCCTGTGCCAGGCCAGCCCATGCCGCCTCCTGGACAGCAGCCCCCAGGGCCCTACCCTGGGCAGCCGCCAATGACCTACCCTGGACAGTCACCAATGCCACCCCCAGGGCAGCAACCAGTGCCAAGCTACCCAGGGTACTCAGGATCCGGGAGTGTCACCCCTGCCGTGCCCCCAGCTCCGGTGAGTACAAGGCTGGGGAGGTGGGGGGCAAGGGAAAGCTCAGGACTTCAGCCACCACTTTCTGTTTTATCAAAGAGCATCATTTTCTCAGGGACTCTTTCTGTCCCTCAGGCCTGGGGAGCTGCCCTGCTTCTTCTCCAGGTTGAGTAGGTGCCCAACTACAGGTTGGGTGGGAACACCCTGCTGGGTGCCCTGATACACTGCCTGGACCATGTGTTTAGGAAGAACTGTCTGGGCTGTGGGTCTCAGGCCTCGTGTCCAGCAGAATTCTGCCCCCCTGACCCCCCCCAGCTCAGTGTGCTTGCCCAGACACGTTGTGGAGGATTCTTAAGATCCCCTTGGGTGGGGAAAGTCGTTGGCAGTTCCTCCAGAGTTGATCTTGGCTCATTAAGGAGAAGTAGCTCATATTTGCAGAGCCTAGAATTCATTGTCATGGTTACCCAGCCAAGCACAGGACTAATGGTATGTGCTAGGGAACTATTTTTAGACAGAGGGTGCCCTCGGCTCCCTGCCCCCACTTCCTCCTCTGCTTACTCCCTCTCTCCCTGCCTCCCTCCCTTACTGTGTTAGCACTGGTGGGCACTGGCCACCAGGCAGCAGGTTAGCCTGTATGTGGATATCTGAGAAAACACCTTAAAGGAGGAACCATTGCTTTGGGCTCATGGTTGTAGACCATGGTTGCTTTGTGCCTGTGGCAGCACAATGGCGGGCAGAGTATAAGGGACCTGCTCATCTCACGGCTGATATCTAGCAGAGAGAGGAAGATGTGGGGAGGCCCAATATCCAGTTCAGGGCCACACTTTCCAATATCTGGTTCAAGGCCACGCTCCCCCAATGACCTAACTTCCTTTCACTAGGCTCTGCCTCCAACAGTTCCACCACTTCCACCAGTGCCACAGGCTGGAGCTCAAGCCTTCAGCACCTGTGCCTTTGGAAGGCATTTAAGATCCGAATCATAACAGTCTGGAAAGTGCAAATTTGCTGACAGTGTAGCTGTCAGAGTCAACAGCTTAGCCCAAGGTCAGGACCAGGGAATGAATCCTGCTGGTCCAAGTAGTCGGGAGGCCTTGCCTGCTGTCAAGAGTGGGTGCCTGTGGGCTGGGAATGTGGCTCAGTGGCAGAGTGCTTGCCTAGCATGCGTGGGGTCCTGGGTTTGATTCCTCAGTACCACATACACAGAAAAACCTGGAAGTCGTGCTGTTGTTCAAATGGTAAGAGTGCTAGCCTTGAGCAAAAGAAGCTCAGAGCCAGTGCCCAGGCCCTGAGTTCAAGTCCCCAGAGCTGGCAAAAGAAAGAAAAAGAGAGGGGGAGGGAGAGAGGAAGAAAGAAAGAGTGGATTCTTAGGCTGGGGGCCAGTGAAATGGCTCACGCCTGTAATCCTAGCTATTCAGGAGGCTGAGATCTGTGAGTCATGGATCAAAGCCAGCACAGGCAGGAAAGGCCATGAAACTCTTTTATCTTCAATTAACCCACCAGAAAATTGGAAGTGGAGCTGTTGTGCAAAGTGGTATGGTGCTACCCTTGAGCAAGAAAGCCCAGGGACAGTGCCCAGGCCCTGAGTTCAAGCCCTGCAACTGACAGAAAGAGTGGGTGCCTAGAACCTGCGTGGGGGGGTGGTGAGGTTGAATTAGCCAGGACCCCCTTTCAGGACTGCTCTGACTTGTATGAAGAATCAGAAGGCTGGGAACCTGTCCTTCCTCAGGCCTAGCAGTCTGGAGGACTGCTCATGGGGTAGATTGTTACACCAGGAATCATCTGAAGAAGCTCCGAGACACAGGAGCACTCAGCCATGGGAGCCAGGCCGAAGCTTCTCTGCTGGAACACCAGCTCAGATAGTGCCACATATGGTGGAGAGTCAGCTGTTCTGTAGTTGATTTAGGGCTCCTTCAGGTTCCCTAACTCAAGAGAAAGAGGTGTTTTGGGGGCTGGGGGTAGAGTAGTCTCCTACCTGAAGGAGATGGTATACAGGTAGTCTGATTTAAAACTCTTATGAGCAGTTTGGAAACCGAGGCACCATCACAGATGCTTCAGGCTTTGACCCGATGCGAGATGCTGAGGTCCTGCGGAAGGCCATGAAGGGCTTTGGTGAGTCCCCCTGGGATGACGCAAACCCCACACTGCCCATCTCCCGGCCACTTCTGTGGTGATGGGGGGCTCAGGTGGCTTCCATGGTGGTGAGAGAGGTGGTGGGTGGGGCGGTATGGTTGGGTGCCCAAGAGAACTAGAGGCTAAATGCCCCAGGCCAGGAAAGCCCACAGCTGTGGAGTGGCTCCATGACCCTTGCCTGGCTACGGCCTGCTTTCCTCAGGGACTGATGAGCAGGCCATCATCGACTGCCTGGGCAGCCGTTCCAACAAGCAGCGCCAGCAGATCCTCCTGTCCTTCAAGACCGCCTATGGCAAGGTGAGGGGCAGGTAGGGACTGGGGGAGGGGGGGCCCTCTGGGTCCGGCCTCCTTGAGCCAAGCACAGACCACTCATCCAGCTTTTCCTTGGGCCCCAGTGGGCCTGGACCTCTGCCTACCAGCTCGCACCGTTAGAGGTAGAGGGTACCCTCTGGGAGCAGCTCAGCATCTATAGTGTATGGGGACTTGGAGAGGTTTCTGGACGCTGGGTTCTGTAGCCCTGACTCGACCACAGCTCCCTGAGACTAGAGGCAATCCATTTCTCCCCACACCCACTGGCCTCAGTTTCCATCCCTGCCTCCTCATGACAGCTATATAAGAGCTCTTGTAAGAGTTTGTGTTTAGCTACCTGAGAGCTTTTTAGGAAGAGGCCTATATAGGTTGTGTTTTGAACTTCAAGTTTTCTGAGTCTTAGATAAAAACTGGATTAACAACTGGGTAGATTAGTGTTCCAAGCTAGCTGTTTTCCAGCTTCAGGCTGCTGAGCCACCCTGGCAGGCTCTGAAATGACAGGTCGGGGGCAAGGCCTTAAGTTAGGCCTCTCCACCACTGTTGGGGCTCCTGCAGATGTGCACCACTGTTGTCACCTTCTGTGGAGTCCCAAAATAGTGTTGTTTGACTCACTAGGATTTGATCAAAGATCTGAAGTCAGAACTTTCAGGAAACTTTGAGAAGGCAATCCTGGCTCTGATGAAGACTCCCATCCTGTTCGATGTGTATGAGATAAAGGAAGCCATCAAGGTAGGGGTGTGTGTGTGTGTGTGTGTGTGTGTGTGTGTGTGTGTGTGTGTGTGTGTGTGTGTGTGTGTGTGTGTGTGTGTGTGTGTGTGTGTGTGTGTGTGTGTGTGTGTGTGTGTGTGTGTGTGTGTGTGTGTGTGTGTGTGTGTGTGTGTGTCCGCGCATGTGTATTCTAGCACATTTGCTTGCTGCTGCTCAGTGTCACTCCTGAGCCCTCCTGGATTGGAATCCACAGACATCTTCTGATGGCAAATAAGGTGCCATTTGTCATCAAGGAGCATCAGGGTCTCTGAGTCCTGAAGAGCTGAACTTGAAGAGAGAGACTCGGGAGGATAAAGTGAGCCTGGTGTGCAGAAGGGGGCACTGGGAAGGCGAAATTTTTTCTCCATCTCCATTTCTTTGGGACATCCACTTGTCTGTGCCTGTCCTGTGTTTGCCACTGTAGCATGTCTGTCCCCCTCCATCTGTCTGTCAGATCCAGCTACAGAAGTCCGATGGGGCAGTGTCCAGGGGCTCAGTGTGGGCTCACTGTCCCTGCTCTGGTTGACCTTGACCTTGGGCTGGGTAGCGGCTGGTTTTTAGTCCTGCGGTTCTGTGTGCCCAGTGGGTGGGGGTCAGGAGTCTGCACAGAGGACTTTCACATGCCTCACATAGGCACTCCAAAGGAGCTTCAAGCTCAGAGCTGTGAGAGAAGCCAGCTTTCTCTCCCATTTCCACAGGGAGTTCAGGGAATTCAGTGTATGCATCCTGGAAGGGAGAGGGGACTCACTGATACGCAGCTGACTGCTTTATTCCTGGGAGCTCGGGGGCCCCAGGCCTCTGTCCATTGCCTGCCTCAGTGGCTTCGTGAAGTGGGAGGCAGGAGAGCAGGAATAGCACAGGTGTGGGCCCAGCTGTTGTGGGCCAGTGTGTATCTCTGAGCCCAGTGGCTACTCTCTCAGCATGTACCAGGGCACCAGGTAAGATGGCAGCAAGTGGGTAAGTGGGTAATGGTAGTCAGCTGTAGAAACAGCTGACATGTTTTCTTCCTGACTGGCCCCCTCAGGGTCCTGCACGCTTTAGCTCATTCAGTGTTCATGACTCCCAGGGTATAGGCACACATGCCAGTCCCACTTTATTCCCAAGGAACCCAAAGCCCAGAGAGGTTAAGTAACATGCCCAAGGTCACACAGTCCAGCAAGTTGAAGAGCCAAGATTCATCCTGACATAATCCAGGCTGCTGACCCTAATCTGTCTTTGTGCTGTCCCTGGCATGGTCATGCCTTTTGTCCCCTTTGTGTCCATCTTTTCCTATGTGTCTTTAGGCACCACACTCCATTCAGGACTCTAGCGCTTTCCTATGTCCTCCACTGCACCTCTCTGACGTTTTCTTGTTGGTGGGGTGACTCCTCCAGGCCATGCTGGCAGCATCTGGTGTGTGCCTGGGGTTGGGGCTCAAAGCTTCGCTGGAGCCTCATGGTGGGCTTGGCTCTGTGTCCCAAGTCTCTGTTGCTGTGCGATCCCTGCCCTGCTTGCTGGGCACCTATGGGGCGCGGTCACCACTGTAAGGTCTGTGTGTTCTCTGTCACAGGGGGCTGGCACCGACGAAGCCTGCCTGATTGAGATCCTTGCTTCCCGCAACAATGAGCACATCCGGGAACTCAGCAGAGCCTACAAAGCAGGTCTGTGGTGCCTTTCCCTCCTGGCCTCCCCTCATGCCCTTCCCTGGCCTCTGCACATCCGGGCTTTGGCCGCACCCCCTCTCAGGGCCTCTGACTCCTCCCTGGCCTCCTCATCACCCCATTTCCTGCCACTCCCCACACACTGGGCTTTGACCCAAGGTGTGGCCCTGCCTGCTGTTTGTACACAGAGCAGATGACTGTGCGGCAGGGCAGGGCTGGGGAGAACGTTGGGGTCTGGGCCATGCCTGACCAGAGGCCAGGTCAGCCTGGAGATCTTGGGCTGTACGACCTTGAAGGGCCGTGTAGACCACCAGTCTCTTCAAGCCAGGATCCCTCGGGCCTTTGTTCTGCCATTGCCCATGGTCGGCCAGCAGGGGCAGCTCTGGCTGCAGGCTTCAGAGTGAACTTTCCTTGTGTCTCCCTTTCAGAGTTCAAAAAGACCCTGGAGGAGGCCATTCGAAGTGACACATCAGGCCACTTCCAGCGGCTCCTCATCTCTCTCTCTCAGGTACCTTTCCCAGGACAGGACAGGAAGTCAGAGAGGGGGAAGCAGTGAAGAGAGGGGAAAGAAGTGGGGAGGGAGGAGTTCTCCACCCCAGAAGTGGGCTCCACCTGACAACCTGCTTCTTTTCAGGGAAACCGGGATGAAAGCACAAATGTGGACATGTCACTTGTCCAGAGAGATGTGCAGGTGAGTGTGAGGGGTGCCCTGGCCGGCCCCTCCGCAGTCAGGGCTGCCCTGCTTTCTTGCTTGGCAGGGAAGGCCTCTGGGGTGGACATGGGCTGGCCAGGTGCTGCGAGTTTGAGCCATGCTCCGCCATTTGTCCACTGTACAACCCTGGGTAGGAGACCTGGGGACATACAAGATTAGCAATATCGCTGCAGTCCACAGATCCTGGCTATGGTGTGGGACTCCACCGGACGACCTGGTGCTTTTCTGTGTTGAGCTGCAAATGCCTTTGCTTGCAAAGCGGCAGGGTTGGCACTTGCCTGTTAGCTATTTGATCTTGTAGGTCTAGGAACCACTGGAGTTGTCCCAAATGAGTGGCAGACAAAGGGGGACACATGCAAGCACCTGAGCTCTCCTGGAGAGAATGCACACATTGCCCACTACTGAGTTCAGCCCCCGGGGCCCTGGCCAGGCTTCCTACTTCCTGCTGAGGTGGCACTCACTAGGCCTCCAGCCCTCTATTGAAGGCTTTTCCTCTGCTCCTTACTGCTCGGCTTCACCTGGGCCAGTACGGTCTCTGAGCCTGCCTGTCTGCTCTTGGCTATCAGTAAATGAGCCAAGTGCTGCTGCCTCAGACCTCCAAAGCACTTTAGAGGCCTTCTGGGAACAAATACTTTTGACCTAAACCGTATAAAGATTAACAGTGCAAAGTTACCTGCAAATTCTGCAGCCTTATAATTATGTCAGTTGGGCTCTGATGACTCACACCTGTAATCGTAGCTACTTAAGGGGCTGAGATCAGAGGATAGTGGTTTGAAGCCAGCCTGGGCAGGAAAGTCTATGAGACTCTTATCTTGACTAAACTCAATATAGATAGATAGATAGATAGATAGATAGACAGATAGATAGATAGATAAAATGGGATGGAGCTGTGGCTCAAGTGGTAGAACACTAGTCTTGAGCAAACAAGTTCAGAGACAGCACCCAGGCCCTGAGTTCAAGCCCCAGGACTAACACCAAGACAAAAACATAGATTAGGAAATGTTTGTTGAAGATCAGACATGAGTTTCTCATGGGAGGTGGATTTGTGGCAGTTGGAGCTGAGCTCCTGTGTCATGGTGTTTATCACTGAGGGGCTGGCTGCAGCCCACTCAGCCCTCCCACTGTCCTGTTCCCTCACTTGACAATAGACTAATTTCCATCCATATGGCCTCTTTGGAGGGCTGCAGGCATGGCTTAATGGTAGAATGCCTGCCTAGCAAGCATGTGGCCCTGAGTTCAAGTCCCATCTGCATTTTAGTCCTGATGCAACGTGCTGCCAAGATGGGGTTTGAGCCTAGCCTAGGCCTCTCCTCCCATCTCTGCAGTTTCGCCTCCTTGGTCAGGTGAAGGCCCTGGACTCCTGGCAGTCCTGGTCTTAGCCCCCAGTGTGGGAATCACCCATTCTGCTCAGGAAGAAGAGGGGGGTGTCTGGTTTTGCTGTGGAGCACAGCAGGACATGGCAAAGCCTTGCTCCCACTGCCAGGGGCCTGTCCCATTTCCTGTCTATCTGGGCCTGCAGGGCATGACCCTGTTCAGAGTTTTTAGATGACCTGGGCCTGTGCATCCTCTTCCCTGCCCAGGAGCTGTATGCCGCTGGGGAGAACCGCCTGGGAACAGATGAGTCCAAGTTCAATGCAATTCTGTGCTCCCGGAGTCGGACCCACCTGGTGGCAGGTAAGACCACCCTGGGCCTCCTGGGGCCAATTAGGTGAAGTCAGGTGGACAGTGGAGAGACTAAGCTTTCCATATGTGGGGTTCTCGCTTCCCCAGGGAGCCCCTAGTGGTGAATTAGAAGTTGACGTCCAAAGCTTTCCCAGTTCAGCCAGCTCCTGTTGCAGAGCACAGGAAGCTGTGAGGGAGTGGACTGCCAATGGATGGGTCATGTGTGTACATGTTTGTGTAATGTCTGTCCACACGTGTGTGTGTGTGTGTGTGTGTGTGTGTGTGTGTGTGTGTGTGTGTGTGTGTGAGTGCGTGTCAGTGCCATTCCTGGGGCTTGAACTCAAAACCTAGGCACTGCCTTGAACTTTTGTGTTCAAGGCTAGCTGTACCACTTGAGCCACAGTCTACTTCTGCCTTTTTAGTGGTTAATTGTTGATAAATGTTCTGGATTTTCCTATCTGGCTGACTTTGAACCATGATCCTCAGATCTCAGCTTCTTGAGTAGTTAGGATTACAGACATGACCCACCAGCACCCAGATAGATGATAGATAGATAGATAGATAGATAGATAGATAGATAGATAGATAGATAGATAGATAGATAGATAGATAGATAGATATAGATAGATCTAAATACATATATATATATATATATACACACACACACATGTAAATATAAAAATTATCTTTAGGGGGCTGGGAAGGTGGCTCAGTGGCAGAGCGCTTGCCTTGCATGCCTGAGGCCCTGGGTTCGATTCCTCAGCACCACATAAGCAAAAAGAAAAAAGCCAGAAGTGGCGCTGTGGCTCAAGTGGTAGAGCGCTAGCCTTGAGCTGAAGAGCTGAGGGACAGCGCCCAGGCCCAGAGTTCAGGCCTCACGACTGGACCCCCCAAAAACAAAAATATCTTTAGTTCAACAAAAGGCAACTGGGTCTTTGTTGGCTGGATTGTGAAGGTTAAGAGTTGGGAGAATGTGGCATAACAAACAATCCTATTGCTATTACTAGGTAATATTTATTTACTCATTCACATATAAGAAGCTCTGACCCTGTGCCATCCATTAACTAGTGTGATTGGGGTTGAAATCAGAGTCCTGAAGTCTCTGTTCTTGTGGGCTTTTGTTCAGGAGACAATAAGCTAATACTGGATAAAGTCTGTATCAGGTGGCAAGTCCTGTAGAAAATAGTAATAGAGCTGGAAACCGGGGCAGGACAGGGAGCAATGGGAGGGACTGGGAGCAGTCCTCAGTGATGTAAAAACATTTCACCAAACAACCTGAAGGAGGCTCAGGTACAGAGGCTCTGTGGGTGGGTTGGGGCTCCAAGTATACTCCAGACATTGAAAGGGAAGTCCTTCCAGTGTGGCTGAGGCAGATAGAGAAGAGCAGGGAGTATGGTCACAGGTGGAGAGGGCCCTGCCCACAGTGCATGGAGGTGGAAGGTCTCCCTGCGTTAGAGTGGGAGGGAGCTGTTGGAGGGCTCTGAGTGGGGGAGACTTGCTTGTTTTGTTGGGCTTCACACAGCTTCCTAGGGTGACTGGGGCCCACGCAGTTCTGAACACAGGGTGAAGGGACAGAGCAGGGGACCAATTAGAGGTTGCAAGTGACTCATGGGAGACACGGTGGCCTGGTCTGGGGTAGTGGCAGGTTGGTGGGAAGGAGCCTGCTGATGAGCTGGACAGAAGGGGCCTGGGGAAGATACAGGATTTCTTTTGGCTGAGTGAGGGGAGGGATGGAGTGGGCCTCTAGTGCATGTGGTTGGTGGAAATCCATTGGCATGGAGAAGCCAGGAAGGTGGTTGGGCCATGTACTTGGTCTCAGCTGGAGATGGATGGAAGTAAGGGGGTTATGAGTGGTCCCCTCGGGTGGGGACTGGAGAGAGAGCAGCATTGTGAGGACAGGGCCCTGGGCCATTCCTGGCAGGTGGGGTGGGTGCAGAGGAAGGGCACGTGGGAGGCCAGCTGTCAGAAAGGCCCTGGGGGGCAGAGTGCTGAACATGGAGCTGCTTAGAGGGGTATGTGGGGTGTTGCGGCAGACCCCCCACACCACGCTGCTCGCACCCCAAGGCCTCTGACCCGGGCACGAGCATGTGTTCTTCTCGTCTCTGGAAGGAGTGGGCCTGGGGTGATGGGGGGGAGTTGGTTCACACAGCTGTGAACAGGGCTGAGTGTGGGGTTGAACTCAGGCCCCAGGTCCCACTTTTAATCTCACTGACTATAGTAGAGGGCAAGTGAACACGTTTCACCTTTGTAATGAAACCTGCTGGGGTCCCACTGCATACGGGAATACAATAATAACTGAGAGACACAATGGAAATCACGGCTTTGACACTCACACGACCCCAGCTTCAGGACAGGTGATGGACACTGTGGCCTAGGCTGGGGAAGGAGAGCATTATAGCCAGTGCGCCCTCCTGCCCAGGACCAGCTGGCCGTGGCTCAGCAGCTTGTAGGTTACACAGGGGTCCCCAGGGAGCCCCTTCTTTATTCAGAACCAATAATGGGGCTTAATCTCAGGATCTGGGTATACTATCTCTTAGCTTTTTTGCTCTACCATTTGAGCCACAGCTCTGCTTCCAGCTTTTTGGTATTTCATTGAAGTTATAGGTAGAGTCCCAGACTTTCCTGCCTGGGCTGGCTCAGATCCATGATCCCCATATCTTAGCCTCCTGAGTAGCAAAGAGTACAGGAGTAAGCCTGGCCAGCGCCTGGCCTGATCTTGTCTCCTTTAGGACACCAATTAGATTGGCCTCCTTCCCAGACTAACAGCCTTGTTTTCAAGTAGCCACCTCTTGAAAGGGCTGACCTCAAATCAGTTACATTTTGAGGTACACAGTTCAGCATGGGAATTTGGGAGGCAGATGATTTGGTCCATGACATGTCCCTTCTGCCTTCTCCCTAGTTTTCAATGAGTATCAGAGGATGACAAGCCGGGACATCGAAAAGAGCATCTGCCGGGAGATGTCTGGGGACCTGGAGCAGGGCATGCTGGCTGTGGGTAGGTGTCTGGCAGGCCCTGCAGGGTGAGAGTCGGAGCAGTGAAGCAGCCAGGGTGGACAGGAGCCCTAAGTCATGGATTCTCTTCTGTGTCCCGAAGGGTGGGGTCTTGTTTATATTTGCAGGGTAGATCAGGGAAGGGTGCTGGAGTGTGGGCATTAGTGGGAGAGCATCCAGCTGCTCTCCTAGAGAAAGGTGACTCACATCCTGCCAAGTTTCCTCTAAAAATACATCCCTGTGGGCAGTTGTCACATGTTTGTGATGGAAACACGTGGAAAGATCTCTGCTTGCAACAGCCAAACAGCCCTGCTCCTCAGGGGGAGGGGAGGGAGGGTGCTGGGGAGCCGGCTGGGCTCCTGAGATGGCCCTGTGCCCTCTACAGTGGGGATCCAGGCATCTTTCACACACACTGCCTTTGCTATCTCTCTCTCTGCCCAATTGGAGGGACTCTGTTTGCTCATTTCTTTGTGCCTTTCTGTAGGGACTTTGGGTAGAGTAGACAGTATACCTCTTTTCCCCTCCTGTGTTGTGACTTACAAGCTGTGGAGTGACATTAAATGCCCTCAGCCTGCCTTCCCCATGGGAGTCCCAGCCGCTCCATGACCCTCCTGGGTGAGAACATGGTTCCTCTTTGCCACTCTCGTCTCCGGGCCTCGTTCCACTTGGGGCCCTGTGCTTCTTGCTCCTGTCACCATGGTGCTTGTTAGGAAAGAGATTTGGTAAGTTGGGGTTGAAGCCCTGTGTGTTTCAGGCCATGCCCACTGGGTAACAGAGGAAGAGGAGAAGGAGATGCTGGGTGGAATGATGGGTTGGACGCGAGCCTGCAGACTGGTGACACTATGTTTCTCTCCTAGTGAAATGTCTGAAGAACACCCCAGCCTTCTTTGCTGAAAGGCTCAACAAGGCTATGCGGGTATGTAACTCCAGGAGCAGAGGGCTCAGGTCAGGGTGTCTGAGCTCCACCTAGGACTGGGACCCCAGACTGGCTGTAGTGCATGGCAGCCCCGCCTCAGCCAGGATGTGGGAGAACCCAAGGCTGGGGAAGTGGCGGGGGTGAAGCCTGATGCTCATACTCTTTCTTGGGTGCGCTCTTTAGGGAGCAGGGACGAAGGACCGGACTCTGATCCGCATCATGGTGTCCCGCAGTGAGATCGACCTCTTGGACATCCGAGCAGAGTATAAGCGGATGTATGGCAAGTCGCTATACCACGACATCACGGTACGCACCCCTAGGGCTGCCCGGGCTGCCTCTTCTGTCCATTACCAGTACAGCCATGCGCGTGTCCTCTAGGCCACATGTGGCCGTGTTGCCGATGGACCCCAGGCTTGTTCTCTGCAGCACTTACTGACCACCCAGGCACCCTCAGGCAGCCTGTCAGCTCCTGAGGGCAGCTGACCCCTGCCCCTGCCTCTGGAACCCCACTGCTCAGGAATTACCCAGCAGGATCCACGTAGGACATAGAGAACCCTCAGAGCTGCTCTGCGCCGAGGCCTTAAGCTTCAGTCTCAGGCACACCATGCATCTGTGGTCTGTCAGGCAGAACTTGTGTGAGAGGTTCTGTGAGGCCCAGCTGTGGCTCGCTGCGAATGCCTCCTCTGAGTAGCTTGACAGTGGCGGCTACACAGTAGGACATCCCAGAACATCTCAGCACTGGGAGTCCAATGCTGGCTTTTCTGCTCGCTAGCCAGGTGATCGAAGGTTTCTTTAAGAGCATGAAGGTAATGCCAGTTCCTCCCCAGGGGTGGTGTATCAGCCAAGGCAGCCATGAACAGCTCTAGTAGACACGGACTTTGTCAGTGTATGTTCGAGCCAGGACACAGCCTTGAGTGTCTACACTGAGGTCTCTAGAACCAGGTCCCCATTTGGAGTGCAATGTCACCTGGTGTTGGGCTCTTCCAAAAGAAGCTAATCCCATTTTTTTTGTGACAGCGACACTGCTGTGGGTAACATGCAGGGAGGCATTCTGGGCAGGACGTCTAAGTGCCAGCCACCCCGTCATGCCCCTCAGAAAGCTCCGGGGCACTGGATGTGGTTAGAGGTTGGCGAAGGCTGGCCTGCACTCCAAGGGGGCTTGCAGGTATCAGAGCAGAGTTCTGTGGGAATGGGGTCCCAGGGCAAGACATAGTGATGCATTGTGGTAGTCCCCCGATCTGGAGCAAGGTAAAAGCACTGGATCAAGAACAGTACCAGTTAGCCCTTGTGGGATGGCCTGCAGGCTGGTTTCAGATTTCGCTGTGGCTATTTATTTCACCTTGCTAACCAGGATGAGTGTGGTTTTTTTCCTTCATGCCAGTACTGGGGCTTGAACTCAAGGCCTCACACTCTCTCCCGTGGCTCTTTCACTCCAGGCTTATGCTCTGCCAGTTGTGCCACTGTTTCACTTCCAGCTATTGGAAATAAGAACCTCACAGACTTTTCTGTTCAGGCCGGTTTTGAGCCATGATTCCCAGACCCCAGCCTCCTGAGTAGTTTGGATTATAAGTGTGAGCCACTAACACCCGACTGCTTTTTGTTTTGTTTTCGGGAGCCTGGGTTGGGCTGGGCAGCACTGACCAGTGATGTCCAATGGGGTGGGTCAGGGGCAGTGAGAATGGAGGCTTCCTCACCTCCTCAGGATAAAGGAAGACCCTCAAGGGAAGTGACCCTGTCCCCCCTCCCCTCCCCATAAATGATGTTCTCATTTCCGTGACCAGGGAGACACTTCAGGGGACTACCGGAAGATTCTGCTGAAGATCTGTGGCGGCAACGACTGAGCCAGGACACTGGCTCACCTCTGCCCCCTGCTGGCAGCAATAGTGCCAGGGAAAAGACCCAAAGAGTGTCAGTTCTTCACAATCCACACAAGCCCTGGGGTACACCTTCGGTCTGCAGAGCTTTGGTCCTGTTCTCCCTGCCCTGTGGACAGGTCTGGGAGGGTCTGCAGCACTCGGAAGCCTTCTCCACCCCCACCCCAGCCACAGATCCTGCTGTTCCATCCCCTGACTGTACTCACCCCTCCCCTTGCTGCTTGTGGCCGTTTTAGTTGTGCCATTTTTTATTTTTCTTTGGATGCCTATTTTCTACTCATCTCCAGATAGATGCAGACTTGTCTGTTTGTACAAATCTCTAGTGAGAATGCAGGTTCCCTCCCACACACACTCAGGATAAAAGGGAGACCCTCAAGGGTTGTGGTTGCATTTGGCAAGAATGTATCATGAGGTTTTTTTTTTTGTTTTTTTGTTTTTTTTTGCCAAGTCAATCCTTTTTAAAAAAGAAAGGAAAGCCAGGACATCATTTGTTCCATCTTCCATGCAAAACCACAGAACAAAGCCAATCCCCTGCCAATGCCAACTCTCTCCTTGTTAGTTTGCAATGTGCCTTAAACCTAAATGTCTGTAGCCAAAAGCTGTTTCCAAATTAAAGCCAGCAAGCTCTGGAATGTTCTGGAAATATCTGTGGTGCCAGCTTGTTTTCTGCTTCATGACTCAGGGGTTCCAGCCTCATTAGCATAGAACTTGAGTAGAAATTCTGAGCCATATGCTATCTTACAGGGACTGGGGTGTGAGGGCTGGAGAGAGCCTGCAAATTCCATGCTGGGCACGCAGGCACAGACAAGGCACGCGACCCTGCAGGGTTCAGGGGAGGTAGAGGGAGGGTGTCACCCAGAATGGCCAGTGCATGGTTCCCAGGTGACCTCTTGGAGGGAGGCCGGCAGGCAAGACTGGGACAATGCATTGAGGCTAGTGCCTTCCCTTGGGTGCTCCTGACTCTAACCCCACAGTCCTCTCTTCCTTGGTTGGTGTTAGGAGAGAGGAGTCTAGCAGGGACAGAGTTTCTAGAAATTTCCATGTCATATCCAGAAGCTTGGATATGACAGAAGTTTGGCTTCCTGACTGGAGGCCTCTACTCCCTTCGTTCCTGGCCTACTGGGTTGAAAAGCCTAGGTAGGGGAGAGTCCAGAGAGACCAGGTCAATGAAGCTGCTAGCCCCAGACAAGAGCTCCAGGGTGTAGCCTCTGTGGAGTGCACATCTTCTTGGGGATATTTCCTGCCCCTACACTGTGAGCAGTGGGTGACTTGAGTGTAGAACAGATGTGAGCTGGGTGCTGGCCTCTACCTGGACCTGCCCTGGTGGGGCTGGCAGGTTTCGGTGTCTCGAGTGTTCATGTCTGGAGCATCTTAAGCAAGACCCATCCTGCCCAAGTTAAGGTCTCACTGCTACCGATCTTCCCGGAAGCTCTCTAAGACAAGCCCTTGCCTCTGCATGCCTCTTGGAACCCACGCCAGATCTGGGCATGGTCCAACGAGCCCTGACCTCAGAGGGGGCCTGGGCCTAGAAGCAGTGTGCTGCAGTGTGACTGCCTTTTTCCACTTTGCTTCTCAGAGTACTTTTAGAAATTGAGAAGATGGATGTGGTCGCATATGTCTGTAATCCTAGCACTAGGAAGCCAAGCCCGGATCACAAGTCTGAGGATGGCAAGTTTGTTATTTCTCAAAAAACAAAAACACCGCATGAAAAATTTACATTTAAACATTGGGATATTTCAGATTTTAAAAAGCACACACACACACACACACACACACACACACACACACACACACACACGTGCATTGGTTCCAGGGGCTTAAACTTGGGCCTGGGCACTGTCCCTGAGCTTTTTTGCTCAAGGCTAGCATTCTACCACTTGAGCCACAGCTTCACTTCTGGCATTTTTAGTGCTTAATTGGAGAAAGAGTCTCAACAAACTTTTCTGCCCAGCTGGCTTTGGACTACGATCCTCAGATCTCAGCTTCCTGAGTAGGTAGGATTATAGGTGTCAGCCATTGGTACCTGGCAGCAGTGAATTGCATCAAAGCATTTCTTGGTTCTCTTTAAAACAAAATCTATTTCTGCATTCTTGGAGCCAGTTGTAGCCACCTGCTTGAAGTATGTAGTCTCCCCTGCCACAGACCTTGCTCCTGATTGTCTCCAAGCCCAGGCTTCCTGCCTGGCTCCTGTAGGCTTTGGGTTTGAGACACTTGGTCTCCAGACTTGGCCCTAGGACTGGGTCTCTTCTGTTGTCTTGTCCCTCTGGCTGTCTGCTTGGTCATGTCTTAAGGACCCAGCTAGCACGGCAGAGGCAAACTGAAAGGCTTGGGAAGGCAAGAATGAGATCCTTTGGGGAATGATAAAGATTTTAGAGAGCTCCCACATACTCTTGGGAATGCAGAAGGCCAAATGCATACCCAGGGCTGGGTGGATGTTGAGAAAGGGCTTTGGTAAGGTCCTAAGATGTCACCTGTACTTGACTTTCATGCTCTGCACAAAAAAAGTGAAGGCTAAGACAGAGTAATGAACTGCCTTTCTGAGCATTGTGCATGCACATGTGGATGCACATGTACCCAGGCGCGCGCGCACACACACACACACACACACCTGTAAAGACTGGTAGGTCTTTTGGTTGTCATTTCTGATGCTCAGAGAAATCTGTTGAACTACTACTGATTAGTAAGCGAAGCAAGCAGAGACTTGGGAGTGAACATGTTTCAAAAAGTCAGTCTAAAAAAGTTATCAAATGAATGACAAAAAACAGCAACTCCAAACTCTTTTTGTGTGTGTGTGTGTGTCCAGTCGTGGGGCCTGAACTCTGGGCCTGGGCACTGTCCCTCAGCTCTCCAGCTCAAAGCTAGCGCTCTACCACTTGGGCCACAGTGCCACTTCTGGCTTTTTTCTTTTTGCTTATGAGGTTCTGAGGATGGAACCCAGGGCCTCAGGCATGCAAGGCAAGCGCTCTACCACTGAGCCACCTTCCCAGACCTCCAAACTCTTAAGAGGGGAAAAATTTGATTTCCAAAATTACCACCACACATTCTAGGGTTCAAAAATAACCAATTTTCAACAAAAATTATCAGGCACATAAAGAATGTGGCTCATGCATGGGTGATTAAAAAAAAGTTTTATTAGAAACTGAGGAAAGCCTAGAATTAGATTTACTGGACAAAACTTTAATAAGAAAACAAAAAGCCTCAAGGAGCATAGGAAAACCAGTAGAACTAGATAGAATATCAGTAGATGTCAAATAAGACTAAAGTTGAGTTTTGAGAATTGACATAGCATACAAATGAAATGTCCACTAGAGTAGTTCAAGAGAATATTTGGGGAGGGAAGAGAAACTGCAAACTTCAAGATAAGTCAGTTGGCATTATTCAGTCTTAAAGAGCAGAAAGAGAAAAATAAACATGAAGCCTACGAGACCTTTGAGACACCATCCAGTGTACAAAAAGTGGAAATCACAGGAGAGGAAAGAAAAAAGGAATAGTTTGGGGAAAAAACTGATTGATACCTTACAGATTTGATGAAAGACGTTAATCTATACATATCAGTAAGATAAAGTCAGAAGATCCACATCAAGACATACTGCCATGAGACTGTCCAAAGAGAAAAAGAATCCTGCAAGCAACAAGAGAAAAGTGTCTTAGCTGAGCATGTGCTCAGGACACTCAGGAAGGTGGACAGCCAATTACTCAGCCAAAGTTATGGCGATCAGAAGTTAATGGGATGTTGTGTTCAATAAACTCAAAAATACCAGGATTCCTGTATTTGACCAGGAGTGGTGATATACACCAATAATCCCAGCCTTTAGAAGGATTGAAAGTTCAAGGCAAGCCTGGCTATACATCAAGACCCTGTCCTAACCAGCCAACTTCCAGCAGAGGAAAGCCCAGGGCCAGAAGGCTTCACTAGTGAGTTCTACCACATGCTTAAAGATAAGTACCAATCCTTTTCATAATCTTCCCACCCCCCAAAACACCACCACAAAAATAGGGGCAGGGATGAAACATTTCTAATTCATTCTTTGAGGCAGTATTACCCTGATTCCTGAGCCATACAGGAGTCACAAGTGAACTAGAGACCCATTACCCTCTATAACAGTTGAAAAATCCTCAGCAAATGCTAGAAAACCAAAATCACAATAGGACCAAATGGTATTTATTCCTGAAACTAAGGATGGTTTGATACATGAAAATCTAAGTGCTATACATTATTAATAAACTGATAAATAATAGATTACTAATAACACCTCAAGAGGATCGTCTTCAGCCTAATGTATGACAAACATCTGCCAAAACCCAACATACTTTTATGATTAAAAAAAAAACAAACCTCAAACAACTGGAAGGGAAATTTCTCAATGTAGTAGAAGGTGACTGGAAAAAAAATCCATTGCTGATGTTACTGGGGGAATGAGCTAGTACAGCTTCTGTGCCAAAAGAGTTATACATAGCAGGGGGCACAGGAATGGAGGGACAAAGAATGAACAAATGTAGCAGTGTACACAAGGTTGAAAATGAACTATACAATTTGTGGGTGGGAATGAGGGAAAAACTGGCAGAGAGCAAGAAAAGGGGAGTGGGGATTGTCCAAAAAGAAATATATTCATTACCTGACTTATGTAACTATAACCCCACTGTACATTACCTTTCTAATAACAATTTTTTTTTTTATTTTGTGCTAGTCCTGGGGCTTGAACTCAGGGTTTGGGTATTCTCCCTGAGCTCTTTTTGTTCAAGGCTAGTACTCTACCACTTGAGCCACAGCTTCACTTCTGGCTTTGTGCTAGTTAACTGGAGATCAGAGTCTTACAGACTTTCCTGCTCAGGCTGGCTTTGAACTGCAATCCTCAGATCTCAGCCTCATGAGTAATTAGGATTACAGGTGTGAGCCACTGACACCCATTTAGAGTTTGGTTCAGCAATTTAAATCCCTATGTGTGTACTTGAAAAAGAAAAGCAAAACATAGGTGTAATAAATAATACATGTATGGGTTTTTGTAATAGCCAAAAGAGTACAAGCAACCTAAATGTCCTTTAATGAAAGGATGGGTGGCTGGACAGATGGACAAAACGTTGACTGTCCATACCATAGAACATTATTCAGTCCTACAAAGGAATGAAATACCAACACATGCTCTCATATGAACGAACCTTCAGAACATGCCAAGACAAACCACACAGAAGGCCACACGTGGCATGATTCCATTTATATAGCATGCCCAGAACAGGCAGGTCCATCAGATGGAGGACAAGTAGCTAGTGGGAGAAGGAAGGGCTCAGCAGACCAAGGGTTTCAGTCTGAGGCAATGAAGCTTTTCTGGAGTTAGGCAGTGATGGTGGTTGCCCAACACTTCAAAGTCCTGGAAGCCACTGAACTGTGCAGATCGAGATGATAACTTTTACATTATATGAATTTTACAAATGGAAAACTGTGCACACGTGCATACACGGGCATACATGCATGCATGTGTGCACATGCATATGCTGATATTGGGGCTTGAACTCAGAGCCTGGATGATGTCCTTTAGCTTTTTTGCTCAAGAATAGAGCTCTACCACTGAGCCATAGCTCCACTTCTGGCTCTTGGAAGTTAATTGGAGATGGATAATCTTAGGAACTTTTCCACCCAGGCTGGCTTTGAACTTTGATCTTCAGATCTCAGCCTCCCAAGTAGCTAGGATTTATAAGAGTGAGCCACCAGTGCCCAGCCAAAGTAGTAGCTTTTACTTCTCAAAAGACGCCAGAAGGAAGGTGAGAAGAGGTGGCCTGGCTCCCAGATGGGTGTGGTCTGCAGGTGCATTTCCTCCAGCTGCTGGACTCCTCCTCTGGTGCTCAGAAATGATCTGAAAAAAGGGATGCCCCCACTGCCATGAGTAACAGGGTGGTGAAGAGTTCCTTAATCCCCATGGTGTGAAGTGGGTTCCTTCCTCCCCTTCTCAGTCCCCTGGGACCTGTGGTGCTAGGAACTCAGGGCTCAGGGAAGGGTAGGAGACAAGTCCCCCCCCCCCCATCACCCCTCACCAGTGGGAGGCCTGGGTTTGGGGTAAAACAGAATGGATTCTTTGAAGAAGGTTGAAAGAGGATAGAAAAATGCTGGGGCAGGAAGGGGCTGAGAGTTGGGTAGAGTCAGTAGATGATGGCTCCCTGAGAGTCAAGGTGGCTGGCAAGCTACTGGCCCCAGATGGATGAGGCCCAGGTGTCCCATGAGCCTCCTGAGTGGCTTACCATCTCCCAGGAGATCAGGGGCTGGGCTGAAGGGCCCCGGGGGCAGGTTCCAGGCCAGTTCCTTCAGCAGATCGAGCAGGCCATGGACTTCCGCCTCCAAGTGCTCCACTGTCTTCTGTATGGTCTACAGAGGGGATGCAAGGGGCAAGGCCAAAGATATGGGCAGGAGTAAGGGCAATGCACACTTAGGATGGACCACCGGGTGCTGCCACATCTAGGTCCTTATCAGCCTCTGCCTCTGCCTGCCTCAGTTCCACTCTGGTCTCTTTTTACATTGGTCTAAGAGTTCACGTTTCTTTGGTTGCCCGCCCCCTGGTGGTATCTCTGACAAATAACAGACTAGAAATTGCAAATTTTTCTTTATGGTTCTTTGTGGTGTTGCTTTTTTCTTTCTTTCTTTCTTTTCTGGCAAAGGAGTCTATTGGCCAACAGATTTCTTAGACTATAATGCCTTAAATGAAAAAAAAAGTACGATTGGGCCAGGTGTGGTGTTCAAGCCTGTAATCCTAGCTACCTGGAAGAAGATTGAGGAAGGATTGAGCCCAACTCTGGTATGAAGCATTGGGAGACTTCATCTCAGACCGGGCCTGGATGCCTCGATGGGCATGTGTGATTCCCAGCAACTGGGGCAAACATAAATGAAAGGATCAAAGCCCAGGAAAGACCCAGCCCCTAGGAAGACTCTTTTTTAAATACCCAATACAGCTGGGCCAGATGGCTCACACCTGTAATCCTAGTTACTCAGGAGGCTGAGATCTGGGGATCATGATTCAAAGACAGCCCAGGCAGGAAAGTCCATGGGACTCTTATCTCCAGTTAACCACCAAAAAGCCAGAAATAGAGCTGTGGCTCATGTGGAAGAGTGAGCTAAAAGCTAAGGCATAATGCCCAGGCCCTGAATTCAAGCCCCAGTACTGGCAGGTTCCCGTGCGCGCGCGCGCACACGCACACACACACACACACACACACACACACAAATAGCCAACAAAAAAATGGGAGCTGGATTTATGGCTTGAGTGAAGTGACTGCCTAACAAATTTAAAGCACTAAGTTTAATTGCCAGTATGAAAACACACACACACACACACACACACACACACACACACACACACACACACACACACACGATCACAAGAACTAACTGCCTTAAGGTATTATTTCAAGTTTAAAACCTAAGTCTCTGATATAACACTACATAGGTTTATTAATTCACTAAATAACATGGTCTACATCAGGCCTAACTACCATCATTATGACAGAATTCAGAGTAGAAATTATATGCTGAGATTATTTGTAACTGTGAAGGGATGAAATTCTCTGTGACTTAAAACTAGGACAAACGGGAATGCTAGACTTCAATGAAAGGTTTATGACAATGTGTAATTTCCCACACATAAGGGTATGATCCCCAAGTTTTGAGCCATTCTGTATATCACAGAAGACCGAGTTTTCCTGTGGTCAGATGTAAGGCTGGGTGGACAGAGGCCTGGGGGAGACAGGTGAGGAAGTTGCTGAGCACCCAGTAAGGTCAGGTGGATGTTTAACCCACTGGCCTGTATTTTCTGACACTCAAAACAAGGCTAGGTCTGTACCCCATAAAGTCACCAACCTAGAAGATGGGTCCTGAAGTTTTATGCCTCCCTCTCCCACCCATACATTCTCCCCATTACCTCTTCCATGACGTCTAAACGGCCTTGGACAGCCATGTGCTTGTCACAGCCAGAGTTCCAAGCTGGGTCTCCTGGGGAGGGGCTGAGGGGTTCAGGAGCTGTGGGACAAGAAGTCTGGTCATAGTGGGACCCTCAGTTTCCTTGAGACACCAGAGAATCCTATTAAACACGGGACTTAGGGGAGGATGGTCCTGTACTCAGCACATGGGGGGCTGGGGGGAGGAAACAGAGGATGATCAGGTGTGAGCCAGTGTGTGTCGTCACTGCCCTTAATCCCTCATTAAAGCAACCGTCCTGTTTGTGTGGGGAAACATTGTCCAAAAATAAATGTATCCATGGGCTGGGAAGGTGGCTCAGTGGTAGAGCGCTTGCCTTGCATGCCTGAGGCCCTGGGTTCAATTCCTCAGCACCACATAAGCAAAAAGAAAAAAAGCCGGAAGTGGCGCTGTGGCTCAAGTGGTAGAGTGCTAGCCTTGAGCTGAAGAGCTGAGGGACAGCGCCCAGGCCCAGAGTTCAGGCCCCACAACCGGACCCCCCCAAAAAAAAAGAAAAGAAAAAAAGAAATGTATCCATCACGTGAGTAATGAATTAAAACTGTAACTCCATTGTATATTACCTTTATAATAATAACAAAAAATTCTACACATTTACACATAGCTTATTTTGTTTTTATTTTGTGCGAGTCCTGGGACTTGAACTCAGGTTTTCTTTTCTTTTTGTCTTGTTTGCTCATTTATGTGTCTTTGGGAGGGTCAAGGGAGGCCCAGAAATGGAGGGACAAAGGGAGAGCAAATGGAGCAGTGGTACTCGCTACAGACTACATTGAAAATGAACTACACAACGTGTGCGTGGGGATGGGAGGGAAAAACTGGGAGAGAGGAAAGGGGTGACGTTGTCCAAAAGGAAATGTACAGTTGACCTGACTTATGTAACTGTAACTGCTCTGTACATCACCTTTATAATTAAGACAAAACAAAAAACCCAACAGCAATTCTCAGCCTGGTTTAGCCACTAATTGTGTGGGACCAGGAGAAATTCTCTTGGCCCTCCTGAGCATTTCCAGTCTTCTCTGACAAGAGCCATGGGGTTGGCCTGAGGCTCCTAAGCCCTGATAGAGCTAATCCTCGCATCCTGTCTTTCAGAACCTGGTCAGAGGTCTTCAAAGGATTAGTTCCAAACAGCCTAAAAAATTAGCTTCAACAGTGGAGAGCAGTGGTTCACGCCTGTAATTCCAGCTACTCAGGAGGCATAAGTAGGAGCAACAAGGTTTTGTTAAGCCACCTAGAGCAAATATAGAAAACTCTTAGTTGGGTGCCGGTGGCTCACGCCTGTAGTCCTAGCTACTCAGAAGGTTCAAAGTCAGCTTGGTGGGAAAGTCTATAAGACTCTTTTCTCCAATTAACTACCAAAAAGCTAGAAGTGGAGCTGTGGCTTAAGTGGTAGAGTGCTTGAGCAGAAAAGCTCAAGGACAGCACCTAGCCGGGCGCCGGTGGCTCATGCTTGTAATTGTTGCTACTCAGGAGGCTGAGATCTGAGGATCGCTGTTCAAAGTTGGCCCAGGCAGGAAAGTCCGTGAGACTCTTATCGCCAATAAACCACTAGAAAACCGGAAATGGCGCTGTGGCTCAAGCGGTAGAGCGCTTACCTTGAGCTGAAGAGCTGAGGGACAGCACCCAAGCCCAGAGTTCAAGCCCCATGACCGACAAAAAAAAGAAAAAAAAAGGACGGCACCCACGCCCTGGGTGCTTACACACACACACACACACACACACACACACACACACACACACACACACACACACACACACACACACACACACACACACCCCTACTACCAGTACCAGCACCACAAACAACAAAAGCCACAAGACCTTATCTAAAAAGTAACTAAACAAAAGCCACAAGACCCTATCTAAAATGTAACTGAACAAAAAAGGGTGAGGGCATGGCTCAAGTGGTAGTGCTCCTGCCAACAAGAAGATCAATCCCCAGTACTTCTAGAAGGAAAGATGGAGACAGAGAAACAGAGACAGAGAAAGAGAAAGCAGAACGAAGAGGAGGGGTGGGAGAAGGAGAAGGAGAGAGGCAGGGAGAGGGAGAGACAGACAAGAAAGGAGGAGGAAGAAGAGAAAGAGGAAGAAAGAGAAAGGGAAGAAAGAGGAGGGGAGAGGAGAGAGAAGATTTGGACAAAATTGGGATAAGTAAAGGAGATGTTGCTTCTTGGAGGAGAAATTCTAACAAGAAAAAAACCTCAACAGGGCTGGGAAGGTGGCTCAGTGGTAGAGCGCTTGCCTTGCATGCATGAGGCCCTGGGTTCGATTCCTCAGCACCACATAAGCAAAAAGAAAAAAGCCAGAAGTGGTGCTGTGGCTCAAGTGGTAGAGTGCTAGCCTTGAGCTGAAGAGCTGAGGGACAGTGCCCAGGCCCAGAGTTCAGGCCCCACGACCGGACCCCAAAAAAAAAAAAAAAAGAAAAAAAACCTGAACACACACACACACACACACACACACACACACACACACACACACACACACATACACGGAAGCTCAAACAAGGATGGTGAGAAGGGCTGAAGGGTTGTCAAGTTTTCATGATAGACTTTGAACAACAGCCTTGTGGCTCCCCTCCTCCCTTCCCTCCGCCCTCTCAGCCCTGCCAGTTGGGAAATGGACCTCCTGGCTCAGGGTCTCATTCGCATCCTGGCCACAGTGGCCACCGTGGCTCCCAGAGGCCCCTGGGAGGCGCTGGGCTGGCTCTGCCTGGGGGAACAGGATTCTGACCCCTCCCACTCATGGGCCTTCCTGGGAGACCTTCCAACCTGGGCCTGAGTGAGAGATTGCCCACAGCCCCTATGATTCCTGTGTGCCTAGCAGTTGGAAACATTGTTTGGATGGCAGCTTCCAGAGACACTGCTCACCCTTCCACAGCCAAGTCCTAGACTATTTTTACCAGCCACACTGGCCACTTGGGACAAGTGATATTTGACCACGTTCAATAAAATTGAGTAATAATTTTTTTTACCACATCCAAGACTTTTATAAATATTTGTGATTTGTTCAAAGCCATCAGTGGATTTTTTTTTAAAGAAGCACAGAACATTAGTTTCAAAGGACTGAAATTTAGGATTTGGAAGTGCTCTGGCTAGAACTGGAGGGGACCCGGAGCCCTCTAAAAGAAAGCTCAGATCCTGAGGAATATGTGTTTTGTTTTGTGACTTATCCTATCTCTTCTCTTCTCTGGTTATTTTCCACATCTGGATTCTCAGCCTTGTGCACTGCTGAGATGTTACCAATGTCATTCCTGTGCTTTTGAGTTTCAGGTTAAGATGGAGTCCCCTGGGCTTTTCTGTTAGGGCTGGCAAAATCTTAGATCCTTTTTTTTTTGGTCAGTTGTGGGGCCTGAACTCTGGGCCTGGGTGCTGTCCCTCAGCTCTTCAGCTCAAGGCTAGCATTCTACCACTTGAGCCACAGAGCCACTTCTGGCTTTTTCTGCTTATGTGGTGCTGAGGAATTGAACCCAGGGCCTCATGCATGCAAGGCAAGCACTTTACCACTCAGCCACCTTCCCAGCCCACACTTGGATCCTTTTGCATTCAGCCTCTTGAGTCACTGGGATTACAGGCATGAGCTGCTTGGTGTCAGGCCCTCTAAGGTATTCTTTTTTTTTTTTTGTCAGTCATGGGGCTTGAGCTCTGGGCCTGGGCGCTGTCCCTCAGCTCTTCACCTCAAGGCGAGCGCTCTACCGCTTGAGCCTCAGCGCCACTTCTGGTTTTCCTGCCCAGGCTGGCTTTGAACCGAGATCCTCACATCTCAGCCTCCTGAGTAGCTAGGATTACAGGCGTGAGCCACTGGCGCCCAGCTTCCTCTAAGGTATTCTTGCAATAATATAACCAGAGTTAGATCAGTCTTCTAGGTTTAGCCATCAGCTTGTAGAAAGTACAAGGGACATCAGGACACTTGAGTGACACAGATGTGATATAATTAGCAAAATCTAATGTGGGAAACTGTCGAGGACAAACATGTCTCCTCAACAACATAAAAATGGGAGAACTGCATGTCATCTAGCTTGGCTCACAGAGAGAAAATATAAAAATGTATCATGCAGTTAGGACATTCAGATACTGGGTGCATGGGTTTTTGGGTATGATAATATTGTAATTGTGCTTATTTCAAAAATACGTATGTATCAGGTACACAGGGAAAATTGTAGGTGACAATAATATGCTTGGAATTTTCTTGAAAATAATCCAGTGAGGAAATCAGAGAAAGGATTCCCAATTAAGTGAGATTAGCCATGAGTTAATACTTCAAGCAAGGCTAGCCAGGCTAGCCTTCACTCTCCAAACTGAAACAGGAGGATTACAAATTTGAGGCAAGCCTGGGCTACATATTGAGACCAATATCAAAGCACACACACACAAAAAGCATGACTGATAGATACATTATACTATTCTATTTTTGTAAATCATTATTTTGTATTCCAGCCATTTTCATAATCAAAAGTTAAGTACCAGGTGCTAGTCCTTATGCCTGTAATGCCAGCTACTGGGGAGAGTGAGTCCTGGAGAATTGTAGTTCAAAGCCACACCAGGCAGAAAAAGTCCTCAGGACTCCATCTCCAGGATCACCAGCAGCAAAGCAGGCAGGTATGATTCAAGGGATAAAATGGCAGTCAAGCATTAGTCACCAATGTGCTAATCAGCAGTGGTTACATAAACAGATTGTGGTTCACACACAGTAGGAAACAAGCTACATAGCTGTGCCGAGAAGGGAGGCAGAGCCCAAGGTCGGGGGCTCACACCTGTCATCCTAGCTGCTCAGGAGGCTGGGATCTGAGGATCGAGGTTCAAAAGCCAGACTGGGCAGGAAAGTCCACGGGACTCTTTATCTCCAATTAACCACCAAAAGGTCAGAAGTGGAGGTGTGGCTCAAGTGGTAGAATGCCAACCTTGAGTGAAAAGCCTAACAGACCGTGCCTAGGCCAGTGGAGTTCCCCCAAAATGGCTCCATTCTAATGAAGCACCCCATCCACCCTCATCCAAGGAACTGGAGGTCCTGAGAGAGGTCCTCTAGAAAGCCCACTGCAGAACCTCTCAGGCTCTGGGCCACCAGGCCGGCCAAGCCCTGCCCTTTGCCCTGGGGCACCTGTCTGTCTCTCCAGGGGCAGTGCTGGCCGCTCCTGGGGCACGGGTCTTTGTGATCTTGGCATCTATTATTCCCGAGGAGATGGGCTGGGGATGCAGCCTTCCCTGGCTGCCACGCCCTGCCTAGCCAGTGGACCTCGGCCCTCCTCCAGCCTCCTCTCCCCAGTGCACCCAGGCATTGCTCCTCTACTCCTGCTCACCTCTCCCGCTTGGTCCTCCAGTCCACCATGGCCTCCCCTTTCCCCCTGTCATTTCAGTGACTCTTTGTCTTAGCTCCTTGTTTGCTTTTGTTTCCCCCAACACCCTGCCCTGATTTTTCTAGGTTCCTGCCTCTCCCCAGAGCCTCTTTGTGTCTCAGCTTCTCCTTCACTCCTGATTCTCTTCCCTCTTGTCTTTCTTCCTTTCCGTTCTCTTTCCCTTTCCCTTCTCTCTTTGGTGTCAGTCCTGAGGCTTTAACCCAGGGCTTAAGTGCTGTCCCTAAGCTTTTTCCCTCAAGGCTAACTCTCTACCACTTGGAATCACAGTGCCACTTCCGGCTTTCTGCTGGCTCGTTGGAGATAAGAGGTCTTGGATTTTATTGTCCGAGGTGACATTGAATCCTGATCCTCAGATTCCCAACCTTCCAAGTAGCTAGGATTACAGGCATGAGCCAGCAGCACCGATGATGGCTGTTTCTATCGTAATTTCTCTGCACTTTGCTTTCTGTGTGCTTTCTACCATCATCATCACCACCACCACCACCATCATCATTATCCATCCTCTCTCTTTCCTTCCTTTCTTCTGTCTCTCTGTGTCTCTGTCAATCTCCCTCCCTTCATTGTGTCTGTCATCTGTCTGCCTGTCTGTTTGTCTGTCCTAGCTGGTCAGATGCGGGTCTCCCTGGCTCCCTGCCCGCACCCGCACTGGGGTCTTCACTCACCGGCCACGACCTCGCCGGCGCGGAGCAAGGCGAGCCCAGCCAGGGCGCAGAGCAGCGGCCGCATGGTGCGGTCTGTCCGTCCGTCCGTCCCCGGTCCGCGGCCGCCCTTTCCCTCCCTTCCCCGGATCGCGTCGCCGGCCGGGCGGGCCTGGAGGGAGGAAATGCTCCAAATCCATGCCAAAATTCCTGGGCGGCTCCGGGCTTCCAGATCCAAAAAACCCGCCCCTTCCAGAGGCCCGCGACCTCCCCAAGACCGGGCTGCCCTGCCCTGCCTGCCCTTTCCCCTGCCCTCCCCTCCCGTGCGCGGTGCTCGCCGCCTCCCGCGGGGGTGGGGGTCCCCGAAGGGGGCGGGAAAGGCTCTGGACGCTGTCCAGGGGATCGGGGTTCCTGGTGAGCCCGTTTCCCAGGGGGTCCACTGAGCCCAGGGTGGTGCGCTTTGTTCCCCTACCTGGAGGGTGTGAACCCAGGAATGTGGACATCTCTTCCACCTACTGCCCGGGAACATCCAACAGGGTTTGGCCAGAGACAGATCTCCACCACAATCTGTGTTCCGGTCCTGGGGCTTGAACTCAGCACTGGGCACTGTCCCTGAACTTTTTAGCTAAAACCTATTGTTCTCCCAGGTGAGGTCCACTTGCGATTTTTTTTGGTGGTTAATTGGAGAAAAGAGTCTCACAGACTTACCTGCCAGGCTTTGAACTGGGATCCTCACATCTCAGCCTCCTGAATAGCTAGGATGACAGGCGTGAGCCACCAGCACCTGGCTAGACAAACTTAATGCTTTCATCATGAAGTAACGGTGCTGTTAATAAAGATAATTTTCCAGCCGGGCGCTGGTGGCTCACGCCTGTAATCCTAGCTACTCAGGAGGCTGAGATCTGAGGATCACGGTTCAAAGCCAGCCCGGGCAGGAGAGACCGTGAGACTCCTATCTCCAATAAACCACCAGAAAACCGGAAGTGGCGCTGTAGCTCAAGTGGTAGAGCGCTCGCCTTGAGCTGAAGAGCTGAGGGACAGCGCCCAGGCCCAGAGTTCAAGCCCCACGACCGACAAAAAAAAAAAAAAAGATAATTTTCCAGCAAGAGGACAAAACTTGTGACTTCCAGTCAGATACAAAACGAGACTGGACTTAGAGATCTTTCTCAACTCATTAGCAAAGGGACAAGTGAGTGAGATACCACAGCCTGTCCTAGGAAAAATGGACCCGCAATGCTATTTGGTTGAGTAATGGAACAAAACCTCCCAGAGAGGCAGAGAGGAATCCAGTGTGGCCCCCCCACACAGAATTTACATATCTGAACACAAGAATAATTTTGCATTGTCACCAGTTATGTGTCATTTGCAAACTTGTAAAATAGTTTAAAAGTCTGGGAAGGCACAGAGTCCCTATAACAGAAAAATCAAGCTGGTCCACTTTAGTAAAATGCTGAAGTCCTTTCCGGGATATTATTAAGTGGACCCTGGGGAAGGAGGAAAAGGAAGTAATTCACATAGTCACCTAGAGCTTCTGTCCTGTAATGGGTTCACACTCTGGTGATCACAATGGAGGTAGTAGAAAGCACTGGTGAAATGTCCCTGGGCAAATCATTGTATCTTGTTCTGTAGATTAAGAAACTGAGGTCGAGTGGGGAGCCAGTGGCTCACACCTGCAACCCTAGCTACTCAGTAGGCTGGCATCTGAGGATCACAGTTCGAAGCCATCCTGGGCAGACAAATCTGAGAAACTCTTATATCAAATGGAGGGGAATCTGCCAGGGGTGTGATCTCCTGACTCATGCCAAAAGTCAGGGAGGCCAAGGGAAATAGAAAATGGAGGCTGGTTGTCTCTGGCATGAGGTGAATTGGAAATGTCAGTAACTGGGGGGAGGGAGGAGGGCAGGAGCTGTACAAAGCCCTCTTGTCTTCTGCTTTTGGCACAGGCAGGGATTTCCAGAGCCATGCGAATAAGGAGCCACTTCTGGAGATGCAGCAGAGAGCTGCATCCTCTCTGCTGTACAGAGGGTGGCTGGTAGCCCAAGGCCCACAGAAGTTACAGCCAGCTACCTACTGTGGACAGATGTGCGTGTGGTCATCTCCAGTGGGGATGGGGAAAGGAAGAAGACTGGAGATGTTCAGATTTAAGATTTTCTTCTTGCTTCTTTTGTTGGTCATGGGGCTTGAACTCAGGGTCTGGGAGCTGTCCCTGAGCTCTTTTTTGGTCAAGGCTAGTGCTCTACAACGTTGAGCCACAACTCCACTTCCAACCTTTTGTGGTTAATTGGAGATAACAGTCTCGTGGACTTTCCTGCCTTGGCTGGCAATCCTCAGATACCAGCCTTCTAAGTAGCTAGCATTACAGGCATAGCCACTGGCACCTGGCAAGACTTAAAAAAAAAAATTCTGTCTAGGGTCTCTTGCTTTCACATGCCTTTTTTACTTAAGGCTGGTGCTCTACCTACGACCCGAGCCATTTTTAGGCTATAATTATTTCAGCAGGTAGTATCTCTCTTTTTTTTGTCCCAAGCCAGCCTCATACCTCAATCCTTCTATGTCTTCCATGTAACTAGGGTTACAGACAGGTACCATTAGGCCAGGATTTAGGTGGGAGGATCTCACTAACTTTTTGCCTAAACTAGCCTCCAATAGCCATCCTCCTAATCTCCAACTCCTGAGTAGCTGGGATTACAGGTGTGAGTCACTAAGTCCAGCCCAGGAAAGCTCACCTTAGAGGAAAGAGCGTTCTGAAATGCTGGCATTTTCCTGTCATTTTGTCTGGGTACAGGTCATCTAGGTGTGTTTAATACTTTTCTTTTTTTCCTGTGTGTGCCAGTTGTGGGACTTGAACTCAGGGCCTAAGCATTGTCCCTGTGCTTTTGTGCTCAAGGTGATTGTCAGCTACTTGAGCCACAGCTCCACTTTTGGCTTTTTGGTGATTAATTAGAGATAAGAGTCTCACAGACCTCAGATTATAGGTGAGAGCCACTGGTGACCAGAAGGTGTGTTCAATATTATAAATGTATGTCTTCTCTGTGGAGGTAGCACAGGGAAAGAGAAGAGGGTCAGGGGAGGCTCCTGAGCCAGGATGGGGAGCAGGAGGGGGGCTTTAGTCAGGAGGTTATACCGACCCCTCAGTTACCAAGAGGTAAACAGGCTGAGACTTTTCTCCAAGCTTTGTCTTCTTGCCTTTTAATTCTTTAAGATGGGTGAAGAGGAACTCATTTCCCCGATGGTATCAATCAAGGGAGAGAATGAGACTTTGATATCCGGGGCTTCCTTTGTAATGAAGAACCTCTATCCCATGCGCTGTTGAAGATAATTTTGTTCAAAGATAAAATTATGATCCAAGTATTGGTGGCTCACATCTGTAATCCTCACTCCTCAGGAGGCTGAGATCTGAGGATCATAGTTCAAAGCCAGCCCTGGCAGGAAAGTTTGTGAGATTCTTATCTCCAATAAATTACTCAGAAAAGGCCAGAAATGGCACTGTGGCTCAAGTGGTAGAGTGCTAGCCTTGAACAAAAGCAGCTCAGGAACAGAACCCAGGCCCAGAGGTCAAGCCCCAGGACCAGGAAAAAAAAAAAAAAAGATAAACTTATCACTCCCAAACAGATATGAAATGAACACATACTCAGGACCATCTTTGAGTTCAGTGAGAGAACCAGAGAGATTACAATGGACTGAATGGGAAAACCAGAAAGCCCAAATGGACCTAAAGTGGAGGAATGTTGAAGTAAATTCACAAATGGAGCCCAAAGCAGCAGCTTCGAGGCTGGGGAAAGGAAGTCAGGGGGATCTGAGCTGGCCTATGCAAGATGGGCAGGCTTAGAGTCAGGGCTGACTGCATTGCTCTCATTATCTGCTCCTTCCAGGAAATAAAACCAGCTAATGAGGAAGGCTGGGGTGTAGACAGTACTATATAGTGTTGAATTGAAGACAAGTTGTCTACAGGTTCCCTTCCTTTGACCAAAAATAATTGCATCTGCAGGCAGTTCATACCTGTAATTCCAGTTGCTCAGCAAGCTGAGGTCTGAGGATCCAGGGTTGAGGCCAGGCTCAAATATATGTTGGTGTGTGTGTGTGTGTGTGTGTGTGTGTGTGTGTGTGTGTGTGTGTGTGTGTGTGTGTGTGTGTGTGTGTGTGTGTGTGTGTGTGTGTGTGTGTGTGTGTGTGTGTGTGTGTGTGTTGGTTCTGGAGTTCAACTCATGGCCTGGGTACTGTCTCTGAATGTGTTTTGCTCCAGCCTAGCCACAGCTCTACTTCTGGCTTTTTGACAGCTTATTGGAGGTAAGAGTCTCATGGACTTTCCTGCCTGGGGTTAGCTTGATTCTCAGACCTCACCTTCTTGATTAGCTAGGATAACAGGCACGAGCCAAGTATGTGGCCAACCTTCTAGTTTTATGTGATCATTTAGCATTAGAGCTTCTTTTTTCATGAGTTGACCCTTTAGCTCTGATAGGACTGGGTTTCTTATCTCCCTCCCATGAGGAAACTCAGGTTACTGGAGAAGCCTTTTGATATTGCTCAGTGGGATTCACTCCACATGCTTATTTGCTCCTTCCCTTCCCTTCCCCTCCTTCCCTCTCTCCCTCTTTTTCTCCTTCCTTCCTTCCTTCCTCCCTTCCTCCTTCCCTCCCTCCCCCCTCTCTTTCTTTCTCATTCTTTCTTTCTGTCCTGGGACTTGAACTCTAGGCACTGTCCCTGAGCAGTTCTTGCTCAAGGCCAGCTCTCTACCACTTTGAGCCACAGCACCACTTAGGTTTTCTAAGGGTTAATTGGAGATAAGAGTCTCATGGATTTTCCTGCCCAGGTTGGCTTTGAACTGTGATCCTCTGGTCTCAGCCTTCTGAGTAGCTAGGATTACAGGTGTGAGACACCAGTATCCTGCTATGTTTGTAGCTTTGAGCTCCCCTACCTTTTCTCTCTGTTCTTCCTGACAAGCACCAGTAGCTTGTGATTGGTAATCCTAACTATTCAAGAGGTTGACATCTGGGGACTGCAGTTTGAAGCCAGCCTGGAAAGAAAATCCTGTGAGACTTTTCTATCCAATTAACCACCAAAAATTCCAGAAGGGGACCTGTGGCTCAGGTGGTAGAGCACAAGCCTTGTATTGAAAATGCTAAAGGAGAATATCCAGGCCTTGAGTTCAGGCACAAACTATTTGCACAAAAAAGAAAAAGAAAGAAAGAAAGAAAGAAGGAAGGAAGGAAGGAAGGAAGGAAGGAAAAGAGAAAAAAGGAAGAAAGAAAGAGGGGGAGAGAG